AAGAGTTTTCTAGTCTGTGAAAATTTGTACAAAGAGTGTCGTAATGCTTTTTAGAAAGAATACGTATCAAACTGTTTAGTCTGGCTGGATGTTAACATTTTAGTGATGTGAATACGTGAGCATTGAATTACCTTTAGAGCAGATTAAGGTTTCTGTTGGATTATACCACTTAACATGGGAGATGGAACGCAGACACCCATGATCAAAGACAGCTAGCCACCCTTTTCATGTCTTTCACTTTCAATGGCCATGTCTCACAACCATTAAGGAGGACACAGCGAATTACTTAGCAGTAAACACGCTCTTTGGTCGACAGCCGGATATCGCGTCTACTAAGCCAGAGATGGTGTAAGGTGGCATATGCCAAACGAGCCTTCTGTATCCGTGCTGAGATTTCGTCAGCAATCAACCCACTGGAGATGGCTGATGCAACTCCCTAAATAAGTCAAGTGGTCACCACGCACTACCATTTCACTCCCTATCTCTAAGCTAGAAGTCAATGTAGTCCAGTCCTGTAGCATCAATTTACATAGCCTGCTGTCAGCCAGTCAGTACCACCTTTCATGATACAAATTTGTGGTTAGGTGCAATTTTTTATGCATTACTTCCAAACACTTTTCGTTTACCTTTTTATTCCGTGAATTCTCTTCAACTGCATACATCCTTAACAAAATCACTTGTAAGTTACAAAAGTCTTTCTGAACACACTTCCCACAATGGCTTCGAGTTGCAGATAGAAAGGATAGGCGACATAGTTGCAAAAATGATGCAAGTAGACAAATTATTCAGTGTGAAGACAGTAATTATTTATTGAATAATTAGACAAGAGGGGGGGTGGTGGAGTTCAGATTTCTCCAAGAAATATGGATTGACTAGAGACAAAACCAGGATGAAACAATAGGGAGTCCAGGAAGGTGGGGATGAATAGCGATGTAAAATTATAAAATAGATAAAATAATTTAGCAGATTTGGAAAAGTAATAGTGAGTTTAACCCAATAAGTGAAAATTGAAATCAAAACTAAGTGGAATATTACGCAACATAACAAATCACACAAAAATTTCCGTATGAAATAATAGTAATAACAGGTTTATCCTGAACAGTGTTCATTTAATCCGTAGAATTTTCAGCCGAGTTTATTGCATGATATTTCCTCTCCCTCCAGGATCTTCAAATAAAATACTAATTAACAGTACTATCTGACCTTAAGCTCAAACGGATCCGTTATAATATTTTTTCTTTGTCTCCTTCAAGAAATCTACGACATTTGGTTGAATGCCAACTGCAAAACGTCTAGGAGTATATTTTGCGAACCAAGGGCATAACCAAGGAACAGTAATCTCATGTATTGGAATAAGTTGTCATCCACGATAATGATTTTTCCCAAATTCAGTAGAAACTTGCGAATCAGCATGTTGTTAACGTTTAAATACTTACCAGAGTAAACAGTACTGTTAGAGTATTGGTTTTGTAGAGAATTTGTTTGATTGGACGGAAGATTTCATCATGAGCTGACATCACTTAGAGAAGCACTAGAAAACCTGGGAGTACTGGAAGAGAGTTTCGTCCTAGTTTAGGACTTTTCATCAGTACGCACCCGTCGCGAAATGGTCGCGCTATGTCATAAATTGGCAGAAGTTAGAATTCATGGGCCATTGAATCGGGTCCCAGTGGCTCAATGGTCTACGAGCACGCCTTGTAACCAGAGGGTCCTGGATTCGAACCCCGGTGGCTGCGTGCTGCTGAAGAGTCCCAAACAAGACTGACAAAACAACTGCCCAGTACTCCCAGATTTTCCAGTGGTTCTCTAACTGATGTCAGCTCATGATGAAATCCTCCATCCAATACTATTAGAGGTTATATTTTATCATATTTAAACAAACTGAATAAGAGAAAGAATATGCAATATGTTGATGGAGGTTTTCAGTAGCCCAAGTCTTAGATAGGCCGTCGAATTTTGCAGCACAGTGGTCTCAAGTACAATTGGTCAGGCAGCTTATTGGCACGGAACATTCAGTGGGAATTCGTCAGCCTTTCAAAATAATCATTACACAAAGAAAACTATGGTTACTTCGCTTGGCAGAGGCCATTGCTATTAAAAGACTCCGACCTAACCTCTGTATACAGAAAGATAACGTGAGTAATCTCTCACTATCCTAGTCTACCATAACTGTCTTGTTCGTGTGATTTTGTCTTTTGTTCTGTTGCACAATGTATCACTTAATTGTCATTTTGATTATCAATTACTGAGTTGAACTCACTATAAACTATCCATCATAATATGTACAAATTCAGCCTGTTGTTCAATCTTGTATTTTGTCTCTTGTCTATCTTTGCTTCGAAAACTGGTTCCTTTTCAACCACTTTGGTCAAGGTATCCTTTCACCACTAGCATAATTTGATATGAACTTTAAAGCGTATCCACTTTGGATAAGGTTCCTTTCGATAACTGTGAGTTTTCCTTCAATATTATTATTAATGTATTCTTGTTTCCAAGCGAAATGTAAACTCCAGCCTGATGATTAAATGGTTAGTTACTCTTTTAACACTGAATAATTCGTCTGTTTACATGATCTTTGCAATTATGTTGCTTGTACTTTCTACCTATAACTCGAAGTCATTGTAATAGAGTGTATTCAGAAATTTTGTAACTTATAATTTGATTTCGTGTTTAGGATGTACGCAGATGAAGAGAATCAATAAAATAAAACGAGCTCGTATATTATCCTGCAAATATATTCTTTCTTTCTTTCTTTATTCAAACTTTTCTTTTTAATGTTAGATGTTGGAAGGGGTCAACAAACAGAAAGTTTTAATCAAACTAAGTCCTACGCTCGTTGGTGATCATCAGAAAGACACTAGTAATAATGGGACAACTAGTATTCTCAATAGGATTAACGTTTAAATCATACAGTTGCAACGTCAGAAACTTTACCGTTAGGTTGCTAATTAGGCTGGATTCCCAAACACTCATATGCAAACAAATACGGCTTATAAGTGTCGAATAGAACGAAATACGCCCTTCTTAACTTTATTATAGGCTACAATAACAGAAAACGGCGTACAAACTTCAAGATCACGGCAGTCTAAATGTGACAACAGAAGCATATTCACACATCAAAGAAAAAGAATTCCTTTTACACTTTACCTGAATGATTTTGACTTTAGAAATAACCATTGAGTACGACTAGAGGCATGATATTCCGCTGGTGTATGATACAAATTGATATCTTGTATGTATGTGTCAAAATTTAAAATTCTGTTGAGAGAGAGAGAAATAATAATAATAAAAATTTGACCAAAATAGTAACATTACTGTGGAAAATCATGATAATAATAAGGGTGATAATGATAATATTGAATTTTATACATGGAAATAAAATCAAATATAACGTATCCATAAGAGAAATCTTATAGTACTATTTGTCAATCACAAAAGGTTACAAATATTGAATTTTTAGATGAAGGAAAACGTTCCGAATTAATTGCTTTCTGAGATGTTGGTTGATTTAATTGCGAAGCTTTCAATCCCCGGCTGACGCACTCCTTCACCTCACTAAGTCGGTAATAAGACTGGTAAAGAAGGGAGGTTGGGCATGAGACAGGCTAGCAACCCCATCCCGTAAAAATAAACACCACTGCTACTGAAACGCCAAGCCTGTAGCTTGAAGCCCTATGTTCCACTAGGAATGTAAAAGAATTAAAAAATAACCAATTCATTTTGCATTATAAGCCAGTGACACTACTGTGTGACCAACAACAGCTATAACACAAACTCCTTAAATGGAATGCAGTGATCAGTAGGTTGAAAGTAAGCATCTAGTTAGTGAAATACCCTTTACTATTTAACTCCTGACTTAAAATATGATCACGAATTATTCTACTTTAAGTACACAGAAGAAAATATGAGGGTAAAACGTGGGCATTGTGGTAGAGTTTAACTCCATTATAGATAAAATTTTATTTTGATAAGGTCATATAGTGTTATACAGTAATATGTACTGATGACCACGTTTCAAACACAATTTACTGCTGCTCACAACTTTCTTGCTTCATTTATCTACATGAGTAAAAACTGAGTAGACATATGAATAATAATCAGTATGAAGCTCAATACACATGCATAAAACTGGAAGGAAGAGAAAGTACATTCGGAAACAATATTAATGTCGTCAATAAAAAATAATAGGATGGGAAATGAAACTAGTATTGTTAGCCAATAAGATGTTTTTTTAGTAAATAAATTGCGAAGTGGTCGCACTATGTCATGAATTGGCAGAAGCTGGAATTCATGGCCTGGTCATTGGATCGGGTCCCAGCGGTTTAATGGTCTACGAGCTCGCCTAATAACCAAAAGGTCCTGGGTTCAAACCCACGGCGTTGGATGCGTACTGATGAAAAGTCCCAGACTAAGGCGAAACAGCTGTCCAGTACTCCTTGTGGGTTTTCCAATGGTCCTCTAACTGATATCAGTTCATGATGAAATCCTGAAACCAGTCAAATCCCTGCAAACCAACACTTGGAAGTCAAAATAAGTGGATTGAGGTCCAAGTTCGTAGTCTACTGATTGATAGTATGAGATACAAAATATTAAACATATGCGTCGGTGGCATAGCGGTTAGGACGCTCGCCGACCATGCACATGGTCCGGGGTTCGAACCCCGGCCGACGCACTCCTTTACCTCGCTAAGCCAGATATAATGCTGGTAAAGAGGAAAGGTTGAACATGAGGCTAGCAACCCCGTCCCGTAAAATAAACACTGCTACAGAAACTTCAAGCCACTAGCTTGAAGCCCTATGTTCCACTGGGGAACGTGAAGAATAAAAAAAATAGTTGAGAAAGCTTATAAACGTTATCTTCACTACCTAAATTTCTCATGTTACATTTGATGTAAATGCAATTAAATCCCAGCGATTAACTTAAATTTATTGTCTGTCTCATACCTCAAGGAGAATTATAATACCACAAACAACATTTCTGTATATTTGAGAGGAACTTTTGGTCTATTCAAACTTTAAGGAAAACTCACTAAGTGTATATAAGATGAGTTAAGTTTGAATGATACCTAGTTTTTACTTATACAATGGAAACAAATGCCAGTGAAAGTGACAAACGTAAGCGGATCGAGTTTTAAGAGAACATTTTCCCGCTATTAGGTAGTAAGCTGGTAATAACATCCACTTATCCGCTGTACAACTGCGGTCGCTTTACCGATAAGTACAGCGTTTGGATTTCAGTAGGAACATCATTAATTACTCTGGGATTTCAAGTATGCCTAGCTAACGATGCTGAAATATACCGTAGCGCATGTCCTAGGTCCTAGTGTCAGCCACCATCAATCAAATAACACTCTGTTAACAACGAGACGCCGTCGAAGTGTCTGTACTAGGAGCCGACATGCCGACAGAGACTGAGCTCTTCGCTCCAAGAAAGTTAAACAGCAGGGAATACAAGATAACTTCAAGAAACGAATAAGGACGAAATCGAATATCCAATATATGACAGATAGACCATACTTACGTTAACGAACATATTTAAAAGTTGTCTAATGACTTGTAGTAGGGAAACAGCCACGAGTTTAGAGACACCTTTCTAATTGATCAGGACAGCTGTAAATCTGATGATTATTCAACTGATTTCAGTCCTGATATTGTAACAAAACGATATCGGCCAAAAACATACTGAAAGCAAGTGGGGTGTCAACTAGTAAAAGAAGCTCCATCTATACCAACAAATTTTTTCTTCCTACAGTTTGCTGACTAGGGCTTGATGATATTGTCTTCATGACAGTAGGAATTCAAAAACATTGAGGCTTTTGTTGAAGAGCAAAACTGGGCGATAACGAAAAGTGAAACGTAGTCAAAACCACTGACTGAAAATTAGGTTACTATAAGGTTAGATATATGCAATTGACTAGGTCATGTTAACCAGCAAAACAGAAAAGAACACCAATCATCAGATAAGAGATTGAAATTATAAGAAAAGAAAAAATACAAACTATTACAGAGATTTCCAACTATTTTACTTTTACCTTTTTCAGATTGTATAGTCGTAAAAAGAGGTTATATAGAAACTTTAAATTCATGGATCGTTATACACCGAGTCAATGTACAGCCGCACATAATTTGAAACTGAATTACGTTCAAAGCATATGCAATTCGGTTGCTGTATGCTACCAATAAGTGTTACTCAACAACCACTTGGTAGTGGAGCCACACTTATTGCATGAGAGCTGACAATACTGCCCAGGACTCCCCAAACCACAGTGAGTGAAGAAGGGCTCAAACCCGCGACTCACTGGTTGGAAGTCAACCGCCTAGATCAGTGAACAATAGCTCCACCTGCATTGTAACCGACCCAACTATCTATCCGCAAAGAACAATCAAAGCTAATAATAATAAGATTAATTGATATTAGATGGTTGGAGGTGATTGGCGGGAAGTCCTGCTTGGACCTGCTTGTTTTTGTGCTAGTTAGCACTCACCAATCAGCAAGGCTTATCTGCAATCTTGAAGGAACTCATGTCCCTCCTGAAATTCGAACCCGAATCACCCAGTGGGTGCTGCAGTCAGAGACGTCACCACTGGGCTATTCGGGCTTGCGATCGACCTCCTGTAGGACTGTATTGGATGTATTTGATTGGACACTAGTCAGTAACTAGTGTAATGTGTCTAGTCCTGTCTTTGAAGCAGACTGAATTCTATCAGTCACGCTGGCAAAGTGGCCACTATTCTAGGTGGCCCGCCATCACGGTGCACTTAGAGTAGTTGATATTAGATTCATGTAATCACAAAAGTTAGTAACAAAAAACTTTAACGTAATTCATCTAATTTTCGATTATACGATTCGTCCGACGAAGCTACTTATTAGAAACGCTTATATGCAATCAAGTGTTTTAATAAAAGAAAACAGGTTTCTTTGAGAAATTTATGCAGGTTTTACCAATGACTGATGTTGCACACGCGAAAACTAGTTCTAGTGAAGCGTGTGCCATTTACAACAATTTGAAAGTATACTTTTTTTTTTTTTTTTTTGGATTTACAGCTTGATTTCCACACCGTATTTTCAGTACAAGTGTGGAACTTTCAGCATGGATATCGGTTGCCCAAATTCAGGCATACCATAGATATCGGGTGTGCGCCGGCAGGGGTTCGAACCCCGGACCATGTGCATGGTCGGCGAGAGTCCTAACCACGTCTTCTGCAAAAATCTTGATATCATGATCTCACTCCTTTTAGCGGGGAGGTGGTGGGTTTATTGGATCTTGTATAAAATACTGAAGGATTTCTAAAAATCCAAATGAGTTCACAAGATGTTCTGGACATAGCTGAAACATTCGCAACTGAAACAGAAATTCAAGCCAACGCTATGTACTAAAAAGACGTACGTCCAGCCCTTGTCTTTACCAGAGACATCATAATCACCCTAATTCTCTCAGAAAAATCGTTAATATTTTGAATAGTTGGTTTATAAGGATTGGATTTGTTTTTACAAGTTGGTCACGGATTGATATCAGTTAGAAAACCATTGAAAACCAGGCAGGAGTACTGGACAGCTGTTTAATAAGCCTGATTTGGGAGTCATCGGCAGTACGCACCCACTACAGGGGTTCGAACCCAGGACCTTCCAGTTACAAGGCAAGCTAGCTCGTATACCATTCAGCCACTGGGACCCGATTCAATGGCCCATGAATTCACCTTTAGGCATAAATCTGACCTAAACAAAGTGGTTAGCTCTCACGAGGTGTGCAACATAGATGGCACTGAAATAGAAACCAAGTCGGAAATTAAATACCTAGGCGTCATTCTATCTGCTGATCTTTCCTGGTCGTCTCATATCTTGACGATTTCTAAGAAAATATTCCGTCTTACCTTCTACATCAAGAAGTTAAAACATTCTGGATTAACCCAACCCTTACTCCTACAATTCGTTAACTCTCACATTCTGCCTATTATTCTCTATTGTTCCCCCTTAGTTTTTCCAGGGCTACTGAAGAAAGACTATACCTTATTACACAGGATGTTAAAGGTTGTCAGCAGGGTAAGAAACGTGTTACTTAATCAGCTTGTTAATACTCTGGTTGACAGGCACATGGACTCATGTGGAAAATGGGCTCAATCCATTCTATCTAACTCACACCACCCTCTTCACTCACAACTCTCCCCTTGCATCTCATCAGACAAAACCAGAAGCCTATATAGAAAACTATATGCTCGCACCAGCAAGTACAAAAACTCAACCATACCCTACTTAGCTCGTGTTCTGTGTGATAAAGAAAGCATTAGGTGTGACACTTATAATCCATTAAATAGTCAGTAGAACAATTAGATCTCGTCTTTCAAACTCATATCATTTATAGATACAACGTTTTCTTTCTTTCTCTTCCTTTTCTCTCTCTCTTTTTTCTGTTATGTGCTACTTTGTTTCTTTCTTCCGCTTACGCCAGCAAATATGATAGCACCACCGACATGCCAATATGTTGCTGTCTTAATGAACTGAGATTTCCTTAATCTATGTAGAATTCTATTTATTGATAATGTACTAACTGGATGCAATACTGTAGTAAAAGTGCTGAGAATTCCATTCTGTATCACAAGTATTGTTTTGGAGTAAAGCAAATTATTATTATTATTATTAAACTTTTACCAATTCGTGATTTTGTGTGACCACCAACCAATGTCATCGGTAGGACATGTTTTCAGTGGTTCTCTAACTGACAATATTTTATTGTGGTTATTACTCGAATTTCCTATTCATTCTTTATCCTTATTTTAGTCGCTATTTATATTACACAGCTTCATGCCAACGGCTGACCAGAAATATTCCTGGGACTTTCTCATGAACATACAGTCTGGTTGATAACTTCGTCCTGAATGAAAATCTTCCTTTGCTACAATCGTATTTTATCTCTCCCAGGATCTAATTGATATATATTCCATTGATTTTGCAAAGTAATTACTCACCTGTGTCCAACACCAACAAGTTGGGAAATATCACTCGACAAGTCGATTAATTTTGTCAGTTTATTAATCAGATAAAGTAGGAAGAAACTTGTCTACAAGTGACAGAAAAAAAAAGATCAAACAACAAAGAAAGAACAAATTATTTACCTATTCATTTCATTATTGTTGAAAGGAGATAAATTGAAATAAGCAACAATAGGAGTATTAGGTGATTTTATTCAATGGGGATACGGGAATCTAGCTCGAAACCCGTCACATCAGCCAATGCACCGATATTTGTCTGTGAATCCAAGGTGATTTCAGATCGTCTCAACACTGACTAACATTAGAAGCAGTTAGAATTGAGACTAAACCGTACAAAGATACCATCAGGAAGTATCGGATTAACGAGATTTTGAATTTATAGGGGAAAGCTAATTTCCTTTTGATATCCCGCGTTCCTCTTGCTATTGAGTGCCATTAGACACTGCTTCTCAAAAGTCAACATCTAGCATTAAAACACAAGACACTGAATTGTTTAGTTTTTATTTATCTTAGCAGATACATTGCAAATCTAATCGGTATAGAATCAACCATGGAGAAGATCTGTAGCTAAGGTGGGTGCTCTTTGTATTCTTGTGTTCCCTGATATCGTTAGTTAACATGCAGAACTTCTATTGTCCTTCTAGACAACTTACTAACCGCCAGCTTTAAAATGAAAATAAATCAGTTAACTGAAACTTTGTGAGCATAAATGCAGTCCATCGTTATTCCCTTGGGTTCCGAGTGGAACATAGGGCTCCGTCAACACATCTCCACTTTGTTCTCTTTTCTCCTGTCCACTTTAGCTGGACCCATGATTGCCCAAACTCTCTCACCTCCTCCTCGCCACATGATCTCTTCCATGTCACCCCCCACTCTCGGACGACCCACTTGTCGCTTCCCTTTTAGTTTCCACAAGAGCGGTGGCCTGCATTGCGCGCGATGTCATTCGCTGACCTCCTCAACGTATGCCCAATCCCTCCCTATTTTCTCCTACATATCTGTTAAGCAATCGGCTTTTGGTTGGTTTCTTCCACTGAAGAGTTTTTCGTTGCTAATTCTTTCTGGCCGGCCATTTGATCTTCAGTATGGAGCCAGCGAAGTGGGCAGCTGTTGATAAAAGTCTGTAGCTTGCTGGAAATCCTTTTCGTGAAACGCAGTGCAAGTTTCTGACCCGTATAGAAAAGCTAACTGAATCACTTGACATGGGTGCTGAAAATCCGAATCTTGTTCTTTATGCTGGCTGGCTAAGTGACAGTAGAAGATTTCCAAACTCATTTCAGGTTGATGATGGCGTATTTTTACTTTCCGATTCTGGCTGCCTCTGACATCCTGATCCGTTCCTCTCGCCTGTGGTTGAAACCATCCTTCCTAGATAAGTGAAGGAAGCTACCTCTGACTGATGCTGATTTCTATTGCTGCTGCAACCTAACACTTAAAAATCGCAAAATAACTACACTGTCTAAGAGCATCTTCTGGTCATATTGTTTTAATCAGTCGTTTTGTGTGGAAATGTTTGTTTGTGTCATAAAAATACCCACAGAAGAGTTTCAATTGGCTGACAACTTTACATTTCAATATTTATTTACTGACAGTACAGTGACAGTCAAAAGTTGACCATGACGAGTAAATAAATTTAGCTTTTAGAGTGAATAATTTACTCCTTTACCCTGTATAGTTTAATGTCTACTTGTCGGGTAGCCGACTAAATGACTTCATAAACAAATCACTCGAGAATGATACAATATAAATGCAGGAGTTGGAATTCATGGGTGACTAGATCGGCTCCTAGTGGTAGAATGATCTACGAGCTTGCCCTGTAACTGAAAGGTCCTAAGTTCAAACTCCTGCGGGTGCGTACTGATGAAGAGTTCCAAACTAAGACGAAACAGTTGTCCAGCATTAATCCCTGACTTTCCATTGCTGCTCTATCTGATGTCAGCTCGTCGTCAAACCTGTGACCAATCAAATCCCTTCAAACCCACACTTGAAAACAAATACATCTAATCAATTAGTGATCATAATAAGAGAAGTAGCCAATAAAAATCATTTCGGGGAATTCTAAATTTAAAAAAAACACTTTATTGAAAACACCAAACACAACCAACTAAGTAATCTTATTTTAAAAGATTTACCTGACTAATTAAAACAGTAATTTCAGAAGCTGACATTTCTCGAATTGGACCATTGAACAATACAATGCCAAGTACCACATAGTTTAATACACCACCACAATAAGCATTAAGTTGAGTTAAATCTAAGTTGAAATTTCAAACACAAAAGAACAAATACAAGACGGAAGTGTTTCAGTGAAATTTTGATTGAAAATAAAAACAAAGTATAATATTTAAACTTCAAAATGTTGACAACTTATTCATTTATTATTATTATTATTATTGTTTCCTTTAGTTCCTAGAGGAACATAGGGGCTTCAGTCACACGTCTCCATTGCGTTCAGTTCTCCACCGACGTTTTCACCTAGCTCCACGTCTGACCACATGCTTTCATCCCGTCTTCTCATGACTTCCTTCTCCATGTCACCCTCGCACTGACAACCAACTCACCACTTCCCATTCGGGTTCCACTCGACCGATGGCCTGGAGTGTGATGTCACTCACTTCATGGTTTGTCTTCTCATTTTGGAAAGACTTCCTTGCATTATAAGGGGTACTGGAAGCTGTCGGTAGGGTAAGTGGGGTGTCGTTAAACCAACTCGTTAAAACAGTTGTGCACGGACACTTGAACTCATGAAATAAATTAGCGAATTTTGCCTTATTGGGTTCTGAGCATCAGATTTATACACAGTTCTCCTTTTGCATCACATTAGGTAGGATTAGAAGCCATTTTCGTAATTTTAGTTGATATTCTATTTGCTATTATATCTTTATTATTATTTAAGCATCTCTCATGAACTGTAATTGCATTGATCTTTACAAATCGATATTATGTAAAAAAACACTAATATTGTTATTGCCTTCTAATCTAGAATATTCTATGTATATAAACATATAAATATAATTATAGAGCCAGAAGAGGAAATTATCGAAAAGGATATTCTTTGCTCACTTATTTTGTGTTTCATAGATGTCTGAATGAATATTTTCGCTATATCATAAAAGACTCTATACTAGGATGACTAAGGATAAATACTCTAAAATACTCTATTTGCCCCCCCCCCCTTTTGTGCGATGACAAGACTGTTGGGTATGAAACTGTTAACTTACTGCGAGACAGTAAGTAAGCCTTCGTTTCAATTCATTCAGCCATTAATATAGCGATGTTGATATTTCTATTAATTTTTAATTTTACTTTTAAATCAATATTCTTTATTGACATTATTGTCAATGTAAATGCCCCGGGTTATGTGAATGTAGACAGAAAACTAGATGCAACATTGTATTACGTGCTAGAAATTCCACATTGTATCAGAGGCACTGTTTCGAATAAAGCCATTATTATTATCATTATTATTATTATTCGCCTACTACGTATTTTCGACAATCAAACAAAGGATTGACTAGCAATGGCTATATAGACATAAATAATACGAGACAATGTTTTGAATACAGAACTCAGGACTCTTAATTTATCTCCCGTGTTCAAGGTTCATTTATCAACTTATTCCAAGAATAGAAAATCTGTCAAATCGAATTAAGTTGGTTGCTTCCTAATGGTCAGTTAGTGCAAACCGACCGTGGGACTAATTAGTTCAATAATAAGGTCTCTAATTGCAGTACCGGGTGACATGAGTGAGATTCTCGAGAAGGGAATACATCCCCAAGAGATTACAGATACGTCTTACTGATGAGTTGTCAGTCTACACAATAATCAGGTCCAACGCTTCCTGCTGCCTGCCTCCGACTTCATTCAGACTATAAAAACTAAGTATTCAGGCAGTGTAACTTCTTCGGTAAACTGACTTCTTACAGCTACAATGCATAGAAAGAAGCTCAACTACAATACTTTATGCAGTCAAACACAAATCGTACAACAGGATGGAGTGAAGTGGCAGTCTATCAAAGTTCAAGAAAGAAATTCATAATTGAAGCTTTCTTTATCGAATCAACTGAGAATGCATGCTATTCATATATTTGTTTTTTTCAAATAATTTTATTCCTTTACTTTCCCAGTGGAGCATAGGGATTTCAGCTAGAACTTTGAAGTTTCGGTAGCAGTGGTGTCTTATGCCCAACCTTCCCTCTTTACCAGTTTTATTACTAGCTTAACGAGGTAAAGGAGTGCGTCGACCGGGGATCGAACCCCGAATCACCTACGTGGTTGGCGAGCATTCCATCACTGTGCCACCAACGCACTTTCAAACCAGGAAGTACTGGACAGCTGTTTCGTCCGTCCTAGTTTGGGACTCATCAACAGTACACACCCACTAGGTCTCGAGCCCAGGACATTCCGGTTACAAGGCAATCTCGTAGACCATTCAGCCACTGGGACCCGCAATTTTTGTATGACAGAACACCTATCCTTAAGATTAATGGAAAAAAGGAGAACTAGAACTAGGAAGAATGACACGTCATCTAGTGAATATTGTCTCTCCAGGTGATCTATGCGATCAACAAACAAATACCGAGTTGCGAACTACCACTGTGTCCAAGTGTTACACATTTATTAATAGTGAAAGGTGTAGTTTTTAACTTTAGCCACAGGGAATACACAAGAATTTCTTTCTCCCTCTCTTATGATTCATCAGGATAACTAATGTCATTGAATATTGAAAAAGCTAAAAAAAGTAACAACTCTATTTGATAAAAATCTATACAATATACTGAAATAATAATTAAGAAAGCTTACAGAATACAACAGAATTTCGATTAATAAAAACTCGTATAGCATGAAATAATTGATTGAATGAATTCGATGAAATGACATTAAGCGATTCACCAAAATTAAGAAATGCTGCACTTTCAACTGAACATCGTAGTTTAGTATGAATAAATCTATTAGAGGAAAAATTAACAGAGAGCAGATTGACTAATAGTAATTGAAAGACACTATGACATTATACTTTCTACTATGCATGTGAATATATATATGCATAGAAATAACCTGATATAAGTGGAAAATACCTTCACACATATACGCGTAACAATTGGGCATAAACAGCTAACCAAAAAAAACACAACTCGAATTCATCTTTTTCAGAAGTTGAGTAAGCAATCACGTTGATGAACATTTATTCGAACCATTTTTGACACCCTTAAGGGGTATAACTGTAATATTATTCATTCGTGAGGCGATGAGACACACTTAATGTATCCGGATTCGAACCAGTGATTCATCTGTTTACCGGTAAGTGGTCAAACTAATAAGACTTCATATTGAAGCTAGCGGTGAAGATGTTGTCAAGATGGTAAGTGAAAACTTCACAATTAAACACCCAGCTCAGAGGACAAAACAACACCAAACACATACCTTCATGTTTCTTCTCTATCACTCTTATAAGGGTTTGCAAATGAAACATCTGGAGTCTTATAGTATACTCAGCGTTTCAGTGTTAAGATTACGTTCATCAGATGTTGGGAATTAGATGTTATTTCTCAAATTATTTGACTAATTAGAGTCATCTTGTTAAGAGAATTCAACACCTCTGAACTGACTAGATCTGATTTCTGCATATTTTGTAAGTCTTTTCTCATCGGTGAGAAAATATTAATATTCGTTTACAATTATTAAAAATATGTGACAATGGCAAAGTTACGTGTACTTATCGATAATGTTTTGGATGTGTCTTGATTAACCTAAATGACGCAGTTTTGTTTACAGTATTATTATTATTGTTGTTTCCTTTAATTCCTAGAGGAACATAGGGGCTTCAGCCGCACGTCTCCATTGAGTTCGGTTCTCCACCAACGTTTTCACCTGGCTCCACGTCTGCCCACATGCTTTCAATTTCTCTTCGTATGACCTCCTCTATGTCATCCTTGCACTGATGACCAACTCACCGCCTCCCATTCGGGTTCCGCTCGAGAGCTGGCCTGGAGTGTGATGTCACTCACTTGATGGTTTGTTTTCTCAGAGTACGGCCTCTAATCCAACTCCATTTCTTCCTGCATACTTGTTGCACAACTGGTTCCTGGTTGGTTCATTCCTAGAGATCCCCGCTGCTAATCTTTTCTGAGTGGAAATCTGATCTTGAGTGGTATTGAGCGAAAACAGCTATTTATGGTGTATGGTTTGTTCGAAGTGCCCGTCGTGACGTGGCGCGGCGCCAAGTCTCTGATTTGTATAGTACCACTTCACATTGGAGTTGAAAATCCGGATCTTATTTTCATTTTCATGTTAAGTGCTATTGATCTCCACACGGACTTGAGAGTAATGAAAGCTTACCTTTCTCTACCGATATTTTGTGATATTTAGTGTATGATAAAGGTAACTAAACGATATAACTAAATGCTTTTTTCGAGACCTTGTATCATTATTAGTTTAGTGTACGATTTCAACCAACATGCATTCTGCTGTCTTTCTAGTTCACAGTATTGGATCAATCTGTAGCACGAATTACTTAGAGGTCATACCTGACTGAAAATTGTTGGCTGAATTTGTGCACAAAAGGATCACAATTCATTTCATTGGGAAAAAATATATTGGTTGGATGATTTCCTCGTGAGCTGACATCACTTAGAGAACCATTGGAAAACCAGCTGGGAATACTGGACAGCCGTTTCGTCCCAGTCCCTGGGACTCTTCATCAGTACGCACCCACCGCCAGGGTTCGAACCCAGCACCTTCTGGTTACAGGGCGAACTAGCTCGTAGACCATTAAGCCACTGTGACCTGATCCAATGCGTGGTCCATGCATTCCAACTTCTACCGATTCGCGCTACGTTATGAATTGGCTGAAGTTAGAATTCATGGGCTGGCTGGTCATTGGAGCGTGGCGACTTGAACTGCTGCACATCGATGCAAAGTTCTTTCTTGAAAACAGACAGACAGGAATCAACTAGTCCCCTAAAATTGAGCAATTCGCCATACTTCATACTGGTTTACCTAATCAGTCACAGCCTTTCCAACTGCTATTTCAAAGAAAATTCAAAGTAGAGAACGCAGAATTCCAGGGAATCGGTTCAGGATTTGTTTCAACAATCCATTTTTGTGTACTTCCTACAACGATTCAGTCTCATTTAACTTTTTCTACAAAATTCTGCAAATATTTATTTATCAAATGTTGGTTTGCAGGGATTTGATTGGCCATAGGTATCATCACTGGCTGAAATCAGTTAGAGAACTATAAGATAGTTAGGAAGTATTGGACACTTTTTTCGCCCTAGTTTGGTACTCTTCAGCAGCATTCTGTGGTTTTAAACGACACAATTGTTCATATAAGTTGAAAATAAAATTCTACAATACTGAAAATAAAAATAATGGAATGGTCTAAACGACGTTAGTATACTGCGAAGTAAACTGAGAATACCCTATTCGACTGTGAAACAGAACAAAAGCATCCATACTATTGCCATCGTCTTCGGGCTATGAAATGTTGTCTATAGTTACTAAAAATAACTGTATATCATTAGTCTTACACAGTGCACAGTGACATCCATCGGATTTATAGACTAGACAAGTCTCTTGGTCTAATGATAATGGAATTAAAAGTTAGTGCGCAGCATCAAACTCCAACATGATTGGATGAGATACACTCACAACCTATTTGCTTGGCTTTAGGCCTTTGCCCATTATAAACAAAAACTGATCCAAAGATTTGCACCGCATTAATACAGAAATAAGTCAAAATAAGCAACATTTTAAGGAACACTTTTAACCCTTTGGTCAATAAATATCTGAGTACGAAAGAAAAATATCTCCAAAACGTTAAAAAAAACCGATATTTTAAAAGAAGTAAAATATATTTACCTGAAATTTCCTTCTTGTTTTTGATGTTCATATGATGCTGATGAACTCCAAGAGGCGAAAAATCGAGTAATCAAAGCAAATATAGCGAATAGGATATACGCTGAGATTGGACCTAACCAACCAGCTCTAGATTAACAGACAGGTTAATTAGATAATCCAAAATGAAACACAAAACAAAATAATTACTTGTTTACACACATATACGTGTAGAATATAATCAATAGGGGATTTAAAGCCACCGACACAATCACTTTAGTGAGTAGATCACAGACTACATTAATATCTTGAGTAATTCGTTGATCACTGGAAAGGAGGCAAACTAAAATGATTATACAGTGACTCTGACTTACGGATTGTCTATATCGATTAGTGTATTTAGAACATAAAAATTTCTCCGTTTGAAATAAACATTTTGTAAACTTTTTGTTAAAACTTCACGAAGGATAAGGGATAAATGTCCCATGACCATATTCTGTACACCTAATGCCTAATAAATGAAAAACACAAACAAACGACACCAGGTAGAATTCAACGCATTATCAATAGACAAAAAACCTTAATTCTCCTCAAGCTTACCGAAGCAATCTCTATCAAATGCCTAGAACCTGATTAATGTGTCCTGTAGCCTGGTAACTGGATGTCTTTACTCTCTCTTTTTCATTTAACTATATAATCTTTGGCTTTAAACTCACTCCTCATCATCACCACCACCTTTGATATAGTGTAATTTTGCTTGTCTCTTGTTTCCGTCATTTGAGATGTATTCAGTACATTGTTACCTAATTTATTAGTCACTCATCATTTTACTTACCTCTCTCCTTTATTACGTAACTCCTTTACCATTGTATGCATGCATTTACTTTGTTTAAATTTGAACTCCCTGGATAAAAACTATATGAGTTAAAGTTTCTGAGCACTATTCATTAACTCCGGAGCCTCCTGTCAACTGACATCATGTAAAATTTGCAAGTATGTTAAAACTTCTCTGTACATAAACTTAATAATAATTTTATTTAGGCTGTAAGCAGCTAGCTGATGAGAAGCCAATGAAATAAACAATGATGGTACCATATTGTTTCTGCGAAAACTGTTGTTCTTGCTTTATTCACATTCGTAAAGGGGATTCATAAATGTATGAAGTTTCATTAATTGCTTATATTTCTTGTATTCATTTAGAACTCTTACGTAATTTCGTTTTCTCAACTTTGTTCCTATGTTTACCCTGAGTACAACTCAGTCATCAAGCTATTCATATTATTACGCAACTTTTTTTTAACAAGAGTTTGTGACAACTCATCACCTTTGATACTACACTAGTTCCATTAACACCTAATTTTCTTGACTGTTTTTGTATGACGTAACTTCACCCAAAACTTACCAATTCTCACATGTTTAGTTAAAACAACCAAGTCCAGTTGTGTTTTTGTTTGACAAACTTAATGTACACATACATACAAAATAACCCATATATATCTGCGATTGTAGAGCTAAGAAAATGAATTCTCCGAAAAGACAATCTTTGCTGAACTATGTGTTTTGTTTTCCTAATCAGTCAGCTGCCACCATCAACTGCACAACCTCTATAAAGATTAGTAAAGCTGGATGAGGTAAAAAGGACTAAAGACGTCTCACTACCAATTCCTACCGTAAGATAGTAGGAAATATCGATTGAAGAGATTTACTGCAAATCTTGTAAGGGTAAACAAAGCAGAAAGACTCATCTACAAGGTAGAATACTTCAACAAGTGGGGATGGATAACACTTTAATACCAAATGAATAATTCATTTCAAAACAAACGATAGGAATGATGATTGCAACTATCTATTTCGTATATATGTAACTATTAATTCGAAATACACAGACAATTTCAAGTTCAGGATAAGGATGAAGACTGTTTGATGCCCCTAAACCTGGAGATTTCATCATTAACGTTTAACTACACAGCTTGCGGACACCATGAGCATTAACTTTACAGAAAATGAATGTAATTGTTTATACTTTCCTGTTATTACAATATGTTTGTATTACTCAAAATGTGACAAGTTCAATTATATCTATGAAGACAGTGAATGTATTCAAGAAATTACACAGCGCTAATTCAAGTTGTTTAGAAAGTTGTAGACCTTCTAGGCGAAAGCCGATATATCAGGCGAGAGTATCCATGTTTTAATTAGCACAGTGAGAAAATCATGTATGGCTCAGAGTTACTCACTGTAATTTTCTACTAAATTGTAGACTTTTTATCACAACTTTGACTGTCTTTTGCGTCCAGAATTTGAAATTAATTAACGTAAAATGTCTAAATGATTGCGCTTTAAACTTGACAGTGGAGGCAGACAGCAACACCTCCACATAATAGCATGAAGCAACTAGCTATATGGTTTCCTTAGCGTTCATATTATGCAGAATTCCCTCGTCACATAATTTTGATTTCATTTGTTATTCATATAACTCAGTTAATTCATAATCTGATATGACAGAATATAAGAATATATAGTCTCAGTATTCTTTCTGGTTAACTTATTTGCATCTTATAGACAGTTTTCATCTCGGCATCAAAGTTAAAACAATATTTCACTAGTCAAAGCTTGTTTTTAGAACATATTGATCCCTCAAGACATAATAAACCAAGGAAACCCAGTAGAACATAGAGCTTCAAGCTAGAAGCTTGAAGTTTCAGTAGCAATGGCATTTATTTTTACGGGATGGGGTTGCTAGCCTGTCTCATACCCAACCTCCCCTCTTTACCAGTCTTATTACTGGCTTAGCGAGGTAAAGGAATGCGTCGGTCGGGAATTGAACTCCTGACCACATGCGTGGTCGGAGAGCATTCCACCGCTGTACCACAGACGCACAAACCAAGGAATAGTGATACCTAAATTATTTCTTAGATGCTACATTACTAAACTTTCTATTCAATTAAATATAAGACAAATATATAATAATATCTCTTACTAAAGAACCACTAAATATATACATAATTGACAATTTTAAAGTCCATATAAATCGGTCATAATGTTTAGTAGTTAATGCAGCAAAGAAATTCGATGCAATCAGCCCAATTTGATAAGCAGCATATTCATCTGTACAAATAAGGGAATTACTTAAATTGTCTAAAGGGATAACTTACAAAAACCGGCGTTTATAATGAGTAATAAAATAAAGAGTAATGGAGTAAAACATTCCTTTTTTAATTGTCTAGCCAGATATCGAATGAAGTTGATAAGGAAACGAACTCCAAAACTAACACTGTAAGAGGAGATTTCAACGATTAATTATGAATAACAGTAAGCTATACCTTTTACGTTCTTTGTCCATATAAGGTAGAATATAATGTAAACCAGCAATTTTAATCTACCTAAAAGTATAAATGAATAGAAAAATGAAGATCACTAAGAGTATTTTGTACCCAAATTACATGAGTAATACTTACGGAATCTTTGAAAATAGAAGATAAATTTGTTTTGAATACTTTTAGTTTAGAATTGACCACTAAAAAAAATTAAAATTCACTTGGGATTGTTATTTAAACATTAACTTAACTAATATGACTTCTTTATTTTTTTCTAAATAATGGAAAATACCCAACAGGACATTAGACGGAAAAGAACAAGAAGTTCACCAAAGATATGTTTTCGGCGATTTCATTCTCAAAAGCTGTACAATCACATTTATTTACATAAGTTTGTGTAGATACAATTATTATTTAATTCCACATAGTAACGAAGGACACTTAGGGCCATGCGGGTCCTATAAAAAAGTGTTGGGGAACATTATTCTGCATGGCTGCAAAGAGAAGGCACTGGTTCAATGAAGAGCACCATAATTGAACACCTAGTCAACTCATGTCACAGCATCTCACCTGACTCATCATTTAGAGTCATTTACAAAGTAAAAAAGAATCTACCAAATGCAGTGTGTTTCCAGTCTCTTTCTACTCCAGAAGCCCTCGCCATATGCCTCGAAAAATCGGAGCTGTGTATTCAAAAGAAACTGGTTCAACCCCTACATTTGCCGTGGATCTAGTTCTGTTATTCTCCTTCGGTTCCGTTTTTTATCTCCCTCATTTCCCCTTTCCTTCAGTTTTAAAATATTATTCTTTCAACTTGCACCCATGCTCATCCTATTCATACCTTTAGTCGTTACGGAACTATTTTCTAATCCTGTATAATTTTTATCTAGGTGCCTTGTAATCTATATTCACACCTTCAAACTTTCATGAAATGTTTAAAATTATTATGACCCTTAATCTCCTTTGTTACTATGTAGAATTAAATAATAATTGTATCTATGTAAAAATAGGTATGTAAATTCGACTGTACAGCTTTTGAGAATGAAATTACCGGAAATATACCTTTTCTGGACTTCTTCATCGTCTGGATATGAGGTCGCTTACAATTTCATTAAAGATAACGAACATAGGACCAGCTAATGAGAAAAATGTTCTCTCGATCCACGGCAATCGACTCTAGCAACCAAATACGCTTACAAGACAATATTATTTACAAAATACGTAAAAATCTTCTAAGGATTGTAAAAACTAGACCTTTTCAAACTGTGAAAAGCATAGAAATTGTTTTTCAAGCCTTAATTACGAGGTTTTCGGTCATTAGGTGAGCAGTCAACTTATTTTTCAAACATGTTTTGAATCTTAAAGTGTCTTCCTTTATCTCATCAGATCATCACATCCACAAGCAGCTTTCAGTTCTTGTTTCTCACTATTGAATTGTAAGATATTCATTTACTTTCCAATTATTGGTTTTTGTAGGGATTGTGTTTTGGTTGGATGGAAGGTTTCATCATGGGCTGACATTGGTTAGAGAACCACTGGCGAACCATCTGGGAGTACTGAATAGCTGTTGCATCAGTCTAGTTTGGGACTCTTCACCAGTACGCACCCACTGCCACGGTTCAAACCCAGGACCTTCTGGTTAAAAGATAAGCTAGCTCTTAGGCCATTAAGTCACTGGGACCATATCCAATGACCAGCTCATGAATTCTAATTTCTGCCAGCCAATTCACGACATAGCCCGACCACCTCGCAATGTCTTCTTCGATAATTTACTGACTCATCTTCAACCTGCTGTACCCTACTGGTCACGGCTTCTCACTAGAACTCCAGGTAAACTGCCTGAATAGGGCCACTCGCTAGTGAGCATCAGATTAATCTTCAAGTACTGGTTTTTGTAGGGATTGTGTTTTCCATGTTTTCCAATGGTTCTGCAACTGATGTCAGCTAATGATGAAACCATCCAACCAATATTCATTTATTCTTTTAATCAATTACATTTGACCACATTTCTTAATCATAGTTTAGTATTGAGCAATTCACAATGTAATATTATTCTGGAATATAGCAGTTCATCACAAATGGCGCAAGGTTTCAGAAAATCTTAATACTTTTTACATATATTTAGAAATAACGTTTTTCTGCAGAGTACATTTCGTGTATATGCAATTCAGTAGTGTGTGATAATGATCCCCTATAAAACTAGTCATTTTCCCCTGAATATCTTTTGTTATAGTTAATTTAGTTAAGCACTTCTTAATAAACTATATAAAGACTTCATTTAACACTAGGAATCATGCAGAAAATGATACTACAATGACAAAAAAGAACAAATGTGGCTCATTTTAAAATACAAATGCGTTTGACAAGTGCTAAGTCTTTCTGATTTCGAAATGAAACCAAACTAATGTGCCGCTGTTATGCAATTTGATAAATTTTATGACATGTTTATGTGACATATCTAACGAAAATCATTCAGAAATTTAACAAAGTAGGAAGACTCAGAAACAAAGTGAAAGCTCATGAAATGATGAGCTAATGACAACAACGAGGTAGCGGGTGGCGATGTTAGCTACATGTACAAATGTGAGTAAGGGAATCGGCATCAAAACCAGTGACTCGCAGGTTGAAATTTCACAATATTTCACATATCTGAAGGACGGGGAAAATAAATTTAAACCAAATGCTGTGCTCAACTAAGAAGCGAATATGCGACGTCTGAGGGCGAAAGACACACGACGGTTATGAAATGCAGACATCAGGTATTATAAAGTATTTTTAGTATGCAGAACAAATAAAGTAACGCAACATTCAATCTTGTTAATATCTCTTAACAATTTTACAACTTGAGTTGAACGGATTAAAACTTATTTTAATATATGGATGGTAACTTGTTAGCGAGTTTCGGTATCACAACGCTTTAGCAAAAATCGCTTCACAACTTTTCAGTGTTTCACTTTATCAAACAACAAATTAAATTCTTTGTTGTTTTCCAATTGAATTAGGGAGTAATTTTCCACTCCTGGTACCAATTAAAACCTGTATGCAAAGCCACACGATGAAAAGTAAGTAACCTAGTGTTAATTTCGCCCAGTTACTAGGGTCCAATCTTAAACAGACAATCTGATAAACAATTTAATTCTTTTATAAACACCTCTAATAAGCTGTGACAAACCAATATTACAAAAGTACAAATAATGAATATCAGATAAATTGGAATAACTAACAGAATTATGAAAACAAATTAAGTTACTGTATGAAAGCAAACAGACAAACTAGTGTGACTAAATGCATTAAATTTGTAACTGTGTGAACATCTACAAATAAGCACAAACACTGATAAGCTGTTCAAAACTTCTGCAATTGAAAAAGGAAAGTAAGGACTGAGCCAGTAGTATTTACCAAAAACATGACTTCGAATTCATAAACCCACTAATGACCCAACCAACCGAAATTCATTAAACTTTCTACACATCATTTTTAAAGATGTAATAAACGCAAGGGCGACAAGAATACTAATAACAATAAATACCATTGCATATACGATGCAAATGATGTAACAAAAGGTATTTTTTTATTCAAAAAATTACTTTTCTAGCAAAGAATAACTCAAAATATGTACATACAACTGGAACAACTAAACAGCCTCGGGCACTTCCCAAAGTGCACTCAAGGGTGATTTTAATTGAAACTTGACATCGAAAAAAATAAATATGTTTGTATACTTCAATCATTACCATAAACATTAACTTGCAGTAATGTTATGACGTATTTCACATGGAAGAAACTGTACATGCAAAGTCAGGCGATTAACAGACCAAAAAGACTTAAATATTCCACAAAATTCCTCAATACAAAAGCTTAAAGTTCTATTTTAAGTTTTGCCTATGAATTCGAAGCTCAGTGAGGCCGTAAATATATATACATATATATAAACATGTTTCTAAACATATTATCATCCATGAAAAATCGGTCACAAAATTGTTCTAATTGAATGCAGAATTACCTAATTCTTTAATTAAGTTTTGAATTCAAGCATAAAAATTGCTTGTTTATATGCTTTCTAGGCAACTAATACGTGAAGTTGCGGACAACATCATAAGGTAGCGCACATGATTGTAATGTTCACTTTGTGAGAAGCGAAACCTACATAATTCAATGAACATGTATGACAAAAACAATATCTTTGTAATGAACCGTCTTAACTGTAATGCTTTTTTAGGCGCTTTTTTCTTATGCCTGGCCCTTTGTGAATTATTAAGTACCAATTCAGGCCATTCACGATTTTCGCAAAATATAGAAAGTGGTGTGGTGGGTTCGATGATCGCGGCACTGATTGCATAAGTTTGAGCTTATCACGTGTAAGTTTTATGAAACAGCACTCAATTTAAGACTTCCTATAAGCGGGGACTCATTTTTCCTCCACGATGGGTGAAGGTAGAGTTTCCATTGTCAGTTTTCGTAGATCCTACCTCATGTCTTCCTTTTTCAGGGTTTCCAGTGGACAGAAATCATAAATAACAAGTGGTATCCAATATCCTGATTACGAGTTGGTATAAACCAGTGATTTCTTTGAGCTCGCTTCCTGATTGTAAGGTAGAGGTTCCAGATCTTCGGTGAACTTATGCGTAGTAAATTCCGCCACTCGACTGCTTTAGCTCTGGTATACTCCAAGAGGAGTGGTACGAGGATTGGTCAAGATTGTGGTTTGTAGTGCGCAGTATGTTAGGACTCAGCTGATTCCGTGAATGGAGTTTGCCCTAACACCCGTTGGTCATCCGGTGTAGTCATAAAAGTAGAATAGAAACACTATGGCTAAGACGCCTGAGACTAAACTTGACACTTTACTATAAGCTTCTAAACCACTTAGTTTTTACCTCTACTAATGACACTCGACTTTCAGATGACAATGCTTACAAACTAAGACACACTAAGGGTACAGTAGCCATCGAACAATGTAAAACAGCCACCAGGCAAAAGTTTTACTTGATTAGGTATGCACAGATATGGAATAAACTGCCATTAACGGTTAAGATACGTATCCTCAAACAGACAAGAAATCTCGTTTGTAAAACTACTACCCAACACAATAAGTGGAATAAAATGGACATAAACCGACAACACGAAAAAGGTATAACACCACAACATCACAAGGACAGATGAACGCTCGTTGGGCACCATATATCTCTCACCAACTGCAACCCACCTTTCCTTAGATAATGTGATGAACTTATATCCATAATGTTGCTGAGCAGTTAATATTCTCAACTCCTGCAGGAACAGCTGAAACTCATAAACCTTCCTAACGCTAAGAAAATACCCACAAGCAGTAGAAATCCATTAATTAATGCGTCCGAAGCTTATGTACCTACTCCCAACAATGACATTGAAGATCAGATGAGATAAACACATCACTGATTTCAAAATAACACATCAATGAACTATAATTCGAGGACTCTGCACACAACAAAGTTATGTATGAATATTTCCTTCAAGCTTTATTTTTTCCCGGGCACTTATAATCCATCCACCAAAGACCTGGTTTTTTTGTTAATGCGAAGACAAAACTCCTGTATTTCCTGTTGTGTTGCACTCATTGACAATCCAACAGATTTTTCCAGCTTTGCACAGAAATGATTGTATATAAGTGAAAAGGCTGTTTTATACCACTGGGATTAACATTTATCAAGTGTATGTATAATCTCCAGCAAACATGTAGAGCACATCTTGCTACTGCCTGTAAATTGTGATTGAATTATATGGTTCTATTTCTGTAACAATTTGATGATGCCTGTAAACTGGCGTCCCTCATGTACTGTGCTATGAGAATAAATTTATTTATTTATTTAATAGTAATAGGTTGTAATGTAGATAATATAGGTTGAGATAAGTGAAATAATAAAGGTGAAATAATAAAGAAAGAAAGAAAAGATAGAGTAGTCGGTACAGTGGGAGAAGACAGGACGGGTCGTGGCGATTTAGCTCGTATGCTTATCCATTGACAGTGTAGTTTCAAATTTTAAATGGATAAGCTATTGAGACACAAACCATGCATTTCCGCATGATTGTCCAGCTTCCGCTTAAAAGTTATTTTATTTTTTTTTATTTTCGGTTACAGCTTGATTCCACACCGTATTTTCAGTACAAGTATGGAATTTTCAGCATGGATATCGGTAGCCCAAATTTTGCAGGCTGACCATAGATATCGGGTGTGCGTCGGCAGGGGATCGAACCTCGGACCATGTGCATGGTCGGTGAGAGTCCTAACCACTGTGCCACCGACGCACCCCAGATGGCGCTGTAGTTACGGCCGCCAGTAAGGCGTTCCAGGGACGACAAACTCGAAGCGAGAAGAAATGTGAACGCACTAGAGTCTTTGGTCTCTGGTGTGCTATCCTTAGTGGGTTACATCGTGGAAGCCTATAATCACTTAATGGAAGGATGCTTTTATTAGGATAGGTCCGGTCATTTAAGATCTTAAAGACGGCGATGAGGTCTCCCCGTAACTACGGTAACTAAGTGTGAAGAGACTTAATTTCTTCAGTCTTTCCTCATATGATTTGTTGCGGAGGCCGATCACCCATTTGTCGCTCGTCTCTGAACACTCTTTAGAATGGTAGATAAGAAAAACTTGAAAACTTCTTAGCTAAGGCATTTATTAAATATAAATGTCACAATTTAATAAAATCGAGTTGTTAATTCTCATAGTGTAATGCCTCCTGTGACATATTTTATTCCTGTTGCTATCGAATCTAGCAGGTATATTGCTAGTTAACTACCACGACTGTGTTCATCATAACCAGTCACCATATAACATATTTTCCCCTTACTCTTCTAAACTCATTGCAGCTTTTGATGAATATGAATAAAGTATGCATTTATAACTATGTAATTTATTGGTTAGTCATCATAAGGCAAACCAAGCAACCACACACATTCGGGATGTAACTTACGATAAAAAAAACATCGCTCATCTCCGAATAGCTTCACACATAAATCTGGCTGTTTAAATGATTTGCCAATAATTTAAGGGAGTCACATAAGGTTAGATGTTTAGTCACGAAGCTCTCACTGTCCTTCTGGACTACATCTTCGGTAGTAACTTCGGAGTGAAATGATCTTTTAGACCTCTTCAACTTGAAAAAGTGCAGAGTAGTGAAAAACGCATCTGTAGGCTGCAGAATGCAAGTTACACACTGTGCGACGTAAGATTGTTCTGCACAACTTCGAAGCGTGACTTAGGTTTAGTAATAACGGAAAAAGTGGACACAAGCATGAATTACACAGCGGTTGTAGCGATGGCATAAGCGGTCACACACTTTACACATATACATTTAGGTGCACTCACTCCTGAGCTCTTTCTAAGGTTGTACATAAAATAAGTCAGACTACACACTGAAGTGCACAATATCATTGCACCTCCACTGCTTAGAAGAGATGCAAACCTTTTGGAAAGAGTGCAGTGACAAGTGACAAAAGGAATTGTTGGTCTCCAAAACAAACCGTGTGATGAAAGGCTAAAGGAATCAGGTCTCTTCATACTCAGTTACCATGGTCTCAGAGGGGACTTGATTACTGCTTATAAGATGACAAATGACCGGAATCACCCAAACAAAGGTGTTCTGCCATTAAGTACCTATGGGTTTCGTCATGGAAATCCCCGAAGGATAGCTTAGCAGAAGATAAAGAATCGATCGCGCTCCCACTTTTCTTCACTTCTCGTATGCTGCCTTTGGAACTCTCCACGAAAAAATGTGGCTACTGTGCCGTCCGTGGGAGCTTTAAGCAGAGACTTGACAATCATGCAGTGACACAAGGACTCAGTCCAAACGGCCGCCTCCCATACAATCTTATACGCTATTAATGGGTAGACGCCCAAACTCATCATTTTACTTCTGTACATTCTCTATTGTCTTAACCTCCTAACTACTCTAACTATTACACTTACTCTTATTATTATTGATATTACACACATATATACATGTTTATTTATATATATAAACCTCAAATTTATTTAGCTGTCTGTTTTTGCGTTTTATTTATTTCTTTTTCTGTCTTTTAGTCTGAATAACCTACAATAATTATATCTGTTATTATAATTTTTTGACAACAACACCGGAGGACTAACTGGTAAAATTAAACCTGTTCACAGTATCAACAAACTCTGCACACACCGAATGCTACAAACAACATATAATTAATCCTAGCACTACTACTTTTGGAGTAAACCAAAGCTATGGCAGTCGAGTGGCGGGACGAACTGCGCAAAAGTTTACCAAAGACCAGTAACCTTTAACTCACAATCAAAAAGTGAGCACAAAGGAACCAAATTGGTTTACACTACCTTGCAAAAAATATATTAGTTACTGGAAGTTCAAAAGGAAAGACATGCTATGATTTCAAATGAAATTTAATAGGATTCCCTGTATCTTATCGGTTCTCGAGGCCTAATTTTGAAAGACCTTGACTTCAGTTTTGATACTTTAAATTCGCCTCCAAGACATACAACTCAGACATTATTGTATTCTAAAGTTGACAAATCGATATAGTAACAACAATATTATTATTTGCGGACGATATTAACATATGGAAAACTGTAAATAATAACAGTGACAGGTTGGTACTGAAAAGCGATCCAGATAAATTAGCTGAATGGGCTATTCTCTGGAGTCTGGAAGTTAATTCTAGGAAAAAAGCGGTAATGCACCCAGGTTAGAGGTATTACGCGTGGTACTCCCTTGGGGACACAGAACTGCCAGGTGTTAATGGACAAAAGGACTAAAGAGCTGTAATAAGCGTGCTAGTTTTCAAGCTGGTTCCATGCATAGGTAAAGAGGGAGGGCGCAGGGTTAGCAACCTACACCACCAAACCTATCAGACTTCCAAAGAGACTATAACACACACAAAATACATTAAAATTTTAAAAAGTTCAAAGAACGATATTAATCTTCTCTGCAATTGGGGAGGCGAAACGACGCATGATGGTGAAAACCTCCTGGCAGCCAGTCAGCCTGCTTCTTCTCTCGACGAAAACAAAAATATGAATGGGTACATTCAATGTTCGTACACTGTACGAAGCTGGGGAGGCTGCCTAAGTAGCCAACGAAGTGCGAAGATATGTTATAGAATTGCTGAGTGTTTGTGAAAGCAGATGGAACGGATGTGGATTATTCAAATTATCAACTGGAGGGCAGTGATCTGCTCTGGTTTGGTCAACTACGAACACATTAGGGGAATGGCCACCCACCGGAACAAGCTGGATTCAGGAAAGGCAAATCGTGTGCTGACCAAATTGAAACTCTACCCATCGTCATCACAGAACAAAGCATAGAATGGCAGTCAAACCTCTACCACAACCTCCTTCATCAACTTCGAAAAGGCCTTCGACAGCATTGACCGAGAAGAAATTTGAAAACAACTTCAACTCCAAGTGTTTATCAACCTCATTCAACAGCTGGCTATTTGACATTGTCTGCCAAGTGTCAGGTGATCCACAACGAAAAACTCAGTTAGACTTTCGAAGTGAATACAGGAGTAGGATAAGGCTGCCTGTTACCACCTATGATAACAGTCTTAGTTGTGGTGAACTGGATTATGCATCAGACTGTGAAAAGGGAGTGAGTAGACAGGAGTACGCTGAACTACCGATGAGAAGACTATAGAAGATCTCGATTTCGTGCATGAGTGGCTTATGTCTAGTGTCACACAAACTCGAAGACTTACAGGCAAGCGAAAACCAACAAACTGGCTGAAGAAGCTGGAGGCTAGGACAAGACTCTAGGTGAGCATAGAGAAGACAGAAGTGATGAAGATAAGCAACCACTACGAACAGCAACAACAACAACCAGCACTAATCACCATCAATGGGAGAGATTTAACAGAGGTAACTCCCTTCGCTTATCTAGGAAGCATGGTTTCAACCACAAGCGAGCAGAACGGATGAAGATGTCAAAGCCAGCTGAAATCGGAAAGGCAAGGTACGCCCTCATCAACCTGAAACCAGTTTTGAAATCTGAACTCAGTCAGCCAGCATAAAGAACAAGATTCGGATTTCGAAAACAGATGTGAATTCACTCTATTCTTCTACATCGGTAAGATACTTGCACTGAGCATCACGGAAAGGATCTCCAAAAAACCATTGCAGAGTTTTATCAACAGCCACCAATTTCGCCGTCTCTATGTTGAAGATCAAATGGCAGGTCAGCCAGAAAAAATCAGCAAAAGGAAACCCTGGTTGGTAACAAATCAACTAAGAGCCGACTGCTCAACAAATATATTGGAGGAAATGGAGATGGATCGGGCATACACTGAGGAAACCGTCGAATGAAATCGCGCGCCAGGCGCTCGATTGGAATCTCAATGAGAAGCGACAAGTGGGTCGTCAGTGCGACGATGGTATGGGGGAGATGGTGTGAGGAGATGAGCGATTTTGGACAATCGTAGCTCAAGCTTAAGAGGACGGCAGAAAATAGAACAAAGTGGATACGTGTTGTTGAAGTCCTATGTCCCAAGTACTCTAAGCAACATATGTCACACCTCATCTAGAATACTGCATGCAAGCGGTGAAAACATGATTCAAAAAGAAGTCACATATCCTGGAAAGAGTACAAAGAGTAGGGACCAAATTCTTTAGTGGTGTCTCACACCTTCCTTATGACAAGAGGATGGAGCATTTAAACCTCTTCCCATTATTATACAGAAGGAAGAGAGGAGACTTAATTTTGGCTTACCGGATATTAAAGAGTGATCTGAGGATTGAACTCTTAAATCTTTTCCCTCCCTCTAGGATACATTTACGAGATCACCACAAGAAGGTGCCCAAACCGAGGTCAAATAAAATACGTATAGAATTTAGATTCTCTCGCAGAGAGTCAACGAGTGGAACTCCTTATCTGATTCAATAGTAACAGCTCTATCGGTGAACGCTTTCAAAGAGAAACTAGATCTCTGCAGAGAAATATATTACAAGGATTAACATAGGCAACAAGAGCCTTCTATCCTTATAATCTGAATTTGATAACCAAATTTGGCGCTGCGACATAGAATAAACCAATAATATTCAAGCGAGCCAAAAGTGACAGAGAGCTGACTGTAGCGTTTTCCGAGTCGTATACTCACCTTAAGCGTCTAGGAAGGAAGATTATAAAACCATGTAAGAATGCACTTACTACCTGTAGAGTAGATTACCGGCCGTTGATTTTTTTCCGAAAGCAAGTTAAGTTGTGGTAACTGTTATTACTTAAGTATATGAATGCTGTAAGTCTATGTTAACCACAACACCGTAGGATTGAGTATCTTTTTATGTTTCTTTGTGAATCGCTCAAAATAAAAAAAATAAAATTCATAGTATGTGCCTACAAAAAGCTATATAAATGCAGCTGTATGGCTATGGGAAGAAATTCACTGAAAATGCCTCTTTGGGGTATACATTATAATGTTGCCAGATTCAAGTAAAAGTTTAGAGGAAATGCACTGGAATATCTTTATTTTCTCTAAAGCTACAAATATTTTATTCGTTTTGATTGATGATAGTTGATTCACAGCTGTGTCATTCATGTAGTGACCATGATTGTTCTCCTGTGGTACACTTTGGACAATATATTATCTGAAATGTATAGGGCGAGGAGTTCAGTGGACACTATTCCAATGATTTTCTTCACCTAGTCTTACAGTTGCATTAATATAGTTTTTTGTAGGCACATATAATGAGTGGACCAAATTGGTTTTTCGATCATGCCATGGCATAAGGAAGGAAAAATTCGAAAATTTATTCTCATAAATTAGTGACATGTATGCTTTTGATTGTAATTCATTTAAGATGAGAGTGATATTTAAGCTTTCCTTGTGAATTACTTCACATAGCACAGCTGTATGACTATGTGAATTAGGTCGCCTTAAAAAAACCTTACAATGAGTTGCATGGTTTTCTCTTTTTAGTCTTGTCAGTCTCCATCGGTTATGCATAGGAAGCATCAGTGGGTATCGTTAATTCTTAAGCAACTTTACAGGTTTCTGCGTATTTGATTCAGAAAGTGACCAATGTGGTTTGAGTATACTGATAATTTACTAAATCATTATGCTTAGACTACATTTACTATCCTGGTAAGTTTAACTTTCCAGTTTTAGACTAATTGTAAGCAAACAGTCATCGCATTTATGTGCTTGAACATCTCTGACTAAATTGCCACTTGTATTAAATTTTAATGTACCTGCTCTTCTAAAATTCCTGGTTAATTTTATCTGCTATTTTCAGCATCTTCAAAATGACGTCCAAATGGTGTTGGGTCACAAAAAATCTTTATTATTTAAATAGCCTACGGATTATCACGCCTAAAAATCCAATAAAATTCACTTGTGAGCAATCATTCCATTCAACACAACCATCATTTGGTGAAGACATTCTGGATGGCATACAATTACGTCGTGTTAAACGGACATCTGTCAAAGAAACTGATGATGTACGCAGAGCCCGTTTATTGTATCAAAGCAGAAAGCGTGGAAATTTGGAAAATGGAATTCTGTTAAGGTAATCTGTGAGTGTCGACCTGTATTTGTGTATGCTTTCGACTATATGTTTCAGTACACTTGTCGTATAGCCGGTGGTCGTATGTAGGTTCAAGAAAGCTTGTTCAAAAGCTTTGCTTATCCTATTAGTCCTTCACATACTAGTTTGTTAAGATTTTTTCTCCTGAGTCCGAGTAGATCTTAATATGTAGGGATTTATTGACCACCTGTGCACAGTATAAAGTCATGATAACACAACTACAGTTAGACTTGTGTCTAGCGGAGGCACATGCGATTCGTCAACTTCACTCCGGATTATGTGTATAAGAAATTTTGTTCATTTCCTGATTCTGCCATCATCTTTGATTACTTCCTACTTGTTTGCTATTATTCTTTGAAGGCAGCTCATTATCTCTTGCTTGTTCCTTTTGTTCATTTTACTAGCCAATTTTGTTTTCGTTTACATCATACTCGTTAAGTGGAGAACACAATTGAATTGTTACTTACCTAGTGAAGAATTTAACCTTAAGAACTCTAAAACCCTTACTTTTATTGTCACTGTTCACGCGATTGCTAATTAGTCAGTGATTTCTGTAAAACTGAATACTGTAGTTTGAATTCAGAAAAAAGCGAGTGATTTTAAATCACACCGAGTTTTTAGATTCTTGATGTCATCTTCACCTTTTATAGACGACAATCGCAATCTTTTTGAAGGCCTTCCATCTTGTGTCAGCCTCAACCGGTCTTCCAATATGGTTTTACATTGCTTGGTATAAAAACGTCTTACTGTCTGCTGCTTGGACATGTGCGTTCTTTTTAGTCGTGCTAACGAAATAGCACAGACATCGATTTCTACCCAAGAAGGACAGTTTCCGTTTCTTCTGAATAACCGTCGAGGTGACTCGTAAGCATTCGCATTTCATCTGCCTGGGCGGTGCACGCATTCAGGGTCATATTCCCGAAAATATTCCTACCATCCAGCTGTCTGGCTCTCAGGATCCTTAAAGATCTGTAACTATTGGAGTGCTTTATGGTCTGTTCTAAATATAAACGGTTTACCAAATGGATATCGCCGATACATATGGATAACCGAACGTCTCTTTCCTGGTAATATGATGATTCTTCTCCATTTAGTTCAATGTACAGCTACCGTATGCAATAACATGTTCTTTCCTATCAATTCCAATTCGCTTTATAACTCATTAGCGTCTAAAATGTATCTAGGAAGGCTAAAGTAAGCACTGGGCATAAAGAATGCTTCAACATCTTGAAAATACTATCACAGTCCTCCATTCAAACTGGTGGGACATTTTTTCTAATAAACTTTATTAACGGGCTTGCTATTTCAGAATAATTCCTAACACAACAATAAAATGAGGCTAACGTAAGAACACTAAGTAGCTCATCTACATACTGAGGTGCAGTCCACCATTTAATGGCTGCAGCCTTTTCTTGGTCAGCCAGTATTCCGTATGCGCTGACTACGTGTCCCAGGAATATTACTTCCGTTCCTAGAGGACGATATTTAGTTGGCTGTATCTTGAGATGTTTCTTTTTCAAACTTCATAAGACTGTCCGTATTCTTTCCAGGTATTCTTCAGTAGTGTAACTAGACTACGTTGTCATCCATCTATATCATACAAACCTCTGTTATCAGACTGTTGACTGCCGTTTACTTTACCTTGGTTAAACCAAACGGTATAGTCTGGAACTCATAATCCCTAGGGTACAGTAAAAACAGTCTTAAACCGACCACTAGGATGCATTTCCATCTGCCGGTATCCGGTAGCTAAGTCGATAGTAGAAAAACCAAACGGCTCCTGCTAATGCGTCTAATGTCTCATAAGTTTGTAAAATCATGATCTAGTACTTAAACTTTGCTGTCATACTCTTCAGTCAACGGACTACTCATATTCGTTGACGACGGCTTATTATTTTCATTGCAAAGTAGTCAATACAAGACATTATTGCCAACAACACCTAACTTAGTGGTCTAAATGTTGAAGTGTGAAATCAACTACGCCTATTATACAGCAGGTAATTCTAAGTTGTCGTTATCTCACCTGCAAAAATGTTCACAATCAAGTGCCAAAGCCCTAAGGTTATCGAACAGATTCCATACTCGTCTTAACTATAAATATGTTCACTTCATGGATAGTTAAGGGGTTTTTGATTATTTATCCAATACAGTGGAAGTGTGTTGCATTACCCTAAGCATTAGTTTTACATTCAGTGAGTTTTAAATTCAAATCACGTTACACCAGCTTTAGTCTGGAAAACCTGATAGAGTATTATTAATCCTCAGATACCAAGTATGCTTCATAACCTGCCAGATGTGGACGGGTTAACGAAGTTGCTATATACATCGGTGAACATAGTGGAAGCAAGATGTCTTCCAGGTAATTACGTGGCGGTGGAATTATGTGGTTTGTAACTCATACAAAACAACCGACATGCTTGTCTCCATATAGATTGGGATCATGATCAAGTGGATCAAGATCGAATACTTGAGCCAGAGACATGCACCTCCAATATTCTCTGTAATGACTGGTTACAAATCCTTCACACTTTAGAATTGACTATTTGCATAGGTCACATCTCTCCACTCAATACTCATTCAGGTTGATTAAGTTTTACATTGGCTGTTGTCGTGTGCTGTAACGTAGATTAACATGTCATAAGCGCTTTTAGTTTAAGGGTATTTTGTATAGTAGATCTGTATTTCTCTATCTTTTTTTCAACTTACGTATATGTAGTACATTCGCTGCTGAACATTTACATAAATTGACTCCTGAACAACTTAGTGCATATGACGATTTAATCAATTTACCCGATAATGAATGGGATATCTACTACTGGATTACAAGTACGTTTATATATATATATATATTATTTTGAAGGTATTGGTTACCCTTTTTGATAAGTATTAATTTTTTGGCACAACTTTATACAGGCTACAGCAGATCAAGTGTGGGCACAAATACTCGCTAAAGACATTGGCTAGTGGTCACGCTGTGTCGTGAATTGTCAGGAGTTAGAATTCATGGGTCATTGGATCGGGTCCCAGTGGCTTAATGGTCTATGAGCACGCCTTATAACCAGGAGGTCCTGGGTTCGAACCCTGGTGGTGGGCGCGTCCTGCTGAAGAGCCCCTAACTAGTCTGACGAAACAGCTATCCAGTACTCCATGCAACTTTTCCAATGCTTCTCTAACCGATATCAGCTCTTGATGAAATCCTGTAACCAATCTATCAAATCCCTACAAACCAATACTTTATACTAAGTTTCATGTTGAGAATCACTTAATGAAAAGCAATGGTCTCTCCAAGCTTCATATATATGAACACTCATCACTGAAATGTATTTCTGAAGCCTTAAGTAAACATATTCGATATTCAAATCTGTATCACTCCGTAATAAGATTAAAGCTAAGCTATTTAGGTCAAACGTCAATTTATGCTTTTCAAGCATAAGTACATATGGAAGTAACTTACTTACTTTACTTTACTTCGGCTATCTCCTACGGGAGGATGAACCGGCTTCATGAACATCTCGAATCGTTTGTAAGAGAGTTCATGAAGTTTCATGGGAATTTGGTACGAGTGATGTCCCCAGAATTGCTCGGCCTTTTGTTTGAGAGTGCAGCTCTAGCCTTTACACAACCAAGTGTGACCTACAAGGCAGTAGGAGTGGAGTAGGGAGTCCACTATCCATTGGCAGCCAGTGACCGGAGTTCGGTTCATACGCCTTTTTGAATGGGGCCAGACATCCAGGACATCCAACAAGCCCTTTGTCCATACGTCTGCCGGTGAGCTCCAGTGAGCTTCATACGCCAGTCGTTGGAGGTTTGGAATCAGGGTTTAGCCATCTCCCCTAGACTGTCATCCAATGGACAGTCAACCCGGTGAAGAGTGCCGGGCATCCGCTTTCGCCCTCTCACTTTGGTGGGGAAAAAAACACCTCCGCCACGTGAAGGCAGTGAGTAGGACTTCCTCAGGAGAGGCTATGTAAGACGCCCGGTCATATGGGAGCATTTCAAGAGGTGTGCGGAGGGGTGGCCAACCCGCAGCACAAGGCACCCACCCCCGACCATCCTGAGGCTTTGGAGGCCATGATGAGATCCTTTAACCAATCTATCAAATCCCTACAAACCAATACTTTTTACTAAGTTTCATGTTGAGAATCACTTATTATTATTTTCCTTTGGGTTCCTAGTGGAACATGTCTTCACTTGCTTCTGTCTTCTGCTGTACTCTCCACCTGCATCCATGTTAGTCCATATTGTTTCAACTCCTCTTCACACGATCTCCTCCATGTCACCCTTGGACGTCCCACTCTCCACTTCCCTTTTGGGTTCCACTCGAGCTATTGCCTGACGCGCGATGTCACCCAACGGCCTCCTCAGCGAGTGTCCAATCCATCTCCACTTTCTCCTGCACATTTGTTGAGCAACTGGTTATTGTTTTGTTTGTTCCCATAGTTTCTTGTTGGTGATTCTTTCCGGTCATCTGATCTTCAGTATAGAACGAAGACAGTTGTTGATAAAGGTCTGCAACCTGGTGGAAATATTCTTTGTGACCGGCCAACTTTTTGATCCGTATAGAAGAATTGACTTGACGTTTGTATTGAAAATCCGAATTCTGTTGTTGTTGATGCTGAGTGACGAAGATTTCCAGATTGGTTTCAGGTTGATGAATGTGTTTCTCGCCCTCCGGATTCTCGATTTGACATCCTCGTCCGTTCCTCCTGTAGTTGAGACAATGCTCCCTCCCTAGATAAGTGAATGAAGTAACCTCTTTCAAATCCCTCCCGTTGATGGTGGTTGGCGGTGGATGTTGCTGCTGCTGTTGTTGTCGGTTAGTTATTTTCATAACCTTCGTCTTGTCTATGTTCACCTGGAGTCCTGTCTTTGCTGCTTCTTCGACCAGTTTGTCGGTTTTCGCTTGTAAGTCTTCGATTTTGTGTGACATCAAACACAAATCATCCACGCGCGAAATCCAGGTCTTCTAGGTTCTTCACGTCGGTCCAGGATATACCTGTCTTCTCTTTTCCCACTGTCTGACGCATAATCCAGTCCACCACAATTAGGAATATCATTGGTGATAATAAGCACCCTTGTGTGACTCCTGTGTTTACTCCAAACGCCTCGCTGAGTTTTCCGTTGTGGATCACTTGACATGTGCCGTTGTCGTACAGCTGTTGAATAAGGTTAATGAATATTTGGGGTACTTGGGAATCACTTAATGAAAAGCAATAGTCTCTCCAAGCTTCATGTATATTGAACACTCATCACTGAAATGTATTTCTGAAGCTTTAAGTAAACATATTGGACCTTCAAATGTGTATCACTCCGTAATAAAGTTAAAGCTAAGCTATTTAGGTCAAACATCAATTCATGACTTTCAAACATAAGTGCATATGGAAGTAACTAACTGTGTTCTAGTCTTCATAAAGTCAAATTTTTGGATATTTCTGTAATACTCTATAGTGTCTATTCTGCAGTTTTCACTTTTGTTTTATGAGTGATATGTTTTAATGTAATATCTATTGCTCAGACTATGTTAGCCAAATATTCACGAGAGCTAACTTGAGAAATTAGTTCTCTGCGGAACAGACTTTTTATGTTTGAGGCTATGAGTCACATTTGTTGTGTGAGGGCTAACGATATTGCCCAACCTGAAGTAGTTGGACGGTGATTCGAACTAGGGACTCATTAGTTGCAAAAGCTGATTACTTAAACTAATGAGGCATGTCTCCAGCTGAGAACTAGCACTTGGAATATATACGTTATTTCACCTGCATTCGATCATTGTACACTATAGTTTTTGACAAACCCTTAGAAGTATACGCCTGTAGATAATCAATGTATTTATGAATGTAACACACTCATCCACAGGCTGTCTCTGAGATACACAGTTTAATGCTTATTACATAAATTTAGTTTATTCTTTCGCATAGTTAACATGCCTTCTTTTTTCATATTTGTTCCTCAAATAACTATATAGAAGCCAAAGAAGCTCCAAAATATTTTCAAACGGATGTTTTAAAACTTCTGCAGGAACATTGCAAAAATACACGAAATGAACAACGATATCATCAGCCGAGCTTATATTAATTTCTGTACAGTTTTACTAGCTTACAACTTCTCTCTTTTGATTGGCTTATTTTATTTGTAGTTATACTTTGTACAAATTAATATATAATTTCCCTTGCTCAATAAGTTGTTTTGGTTTATAGTTCGTTGAACAGTATATTTGTATTTACTCGTCAGTGTTATAAAAGGATAGTTTATTGGCTTAAATAGTCAGGTGCTTATTGTGAAGCTCAAGAATATGGATGCCGCAGTGTCTAGGTTAATAAAGCTAAGCGGTGAGATTAATTTGACTGTCGTCGATTTTTATGTAACAGTAGAGACGTGAGAGACGTGGTAATGGAATCGTTATTTGGAATTTGATATCTGTATATAGAGAAATGAGCGAACCAACCAAGAACCGATTGTGAAACAAATAGGCAGGAAGAAATGGAGATGGATTGGCCATACTCTGAGGAAACCATCAAGTGACATCACTAGACAAGCCCTCGAGTGGAACCCGAAAGGGAAGCGACGAGTTGGCCGTCAGTGCGAGGGTGACATGGAGGAGGTCATGTGAAGAGCAGATGAAAAAGTGTGGGCAGACATGGAGCCAGGTGAAGACTCTAGCAGAGAACCAAATGCAATGGAGACGCACGGCTGAAGCCCTATGTTCCTCTAGGAATTAAAGGAAACAATAATAATATAGAGAAATTATGTACACCTTATCTGAAAATCGTTATTTGCACAGATCTTCGGTGTTGTGCTACTTCTGACCTTCGCGTATTGTGTTTCTTCGTCTTCTTTTCGTGTCTCCCATGTTTCGTCGCAATACTGGTGGTGTTAATTAGCTCTCCTTGACGTTAAGTCTATCACTCCGTTATTTGATATTCGTGTGCAGATGAACGTCTCTTTTTTCCATACTACTGATAAATCTTGTCAGTAGCAGACACCACAATTAAACTAATATTTCGAATTTATGACGAACAGATACCGCTTTCTGTTAATGCATTATCAGTGACTCGTGTCATTAGCCGCTAGTACAGAGTCGGAAATCTATTTTATCATATCACATAAATATCAAAATTAAACATTAGTGTGTGTGTGTGTGAGTTTTGTAAGGTAGGTGGAGTATACGATACCTCGAAGACCACTTCACGATGAATGTATTGGCTTAAATCTCCACACACACTGTAGTTGATAACTCCTAATCACTTATTATTGACAGGACTAGTATTGACGGGCTTACCGACCTGATAATGTAACCATTGAGCTTGAAGATTACTTGATGCGGGTCATAAATATTATAAAATTTTCTCTACTCGCATCTGTGCTATATCACTTGCAGGAGATAGTTCTATTTTCTGGCCTGGTTTCTTTTAAGACCTCCCTCTGGACAACAAGCGGTGTTGATTTCGTGTAGAAAAAAAACTTACTGATGTTACATTCGGTCTCAGTCAGTAATACTGACTCAATCCTTATATTTGTTTTCCACTCTTTCAATATTGTTTTGAAGTGCTTCAGATAAATATTTAAACTAACAAAGGTCTAGTGACTTATCACAGTAGGTAAAGCAGAATATCACACAACAAAATGGAGATGATTTCCGGGAAATAGATCGTTTTTGTAGATAAAGTAGTATTGGTCGTTGTGAACCTTTCAGTAATCAAATAAATATGTATTTGTTATTTAAGACAGCTGTCCTAATTCCGCCTGTAGAAATACATACATTAATTTCCTGTTTCTTTTCGTAGGTTTTTATGACTCAGCCGCTGAGTGTACTGTTGTTACTATCATTATCATTACTATTATTGTTGTTTCCTTTAATTCCTAGAGGAACATGGGGCTTCAGCTGCACGTCTCCATTGCGTTCGGTTCTCTGCCAACATTTTCACCTGGCTCTGCGGCTGCCCACATGCTTGCATCCCCTCTTCGCATGACCTCCTCCTCCATGTCACCCTCACACTGGCGACCGACTCGCCGTTCCCCATTCGGGTTCTACCCGAGCGATGACCTGGCGTGTGATGTCACTCACTTGATGGTTTGGTTTCTCAGTGTGGCCAGTCCACCTCCATTTCTTCCTGCATATTTGTTGCACAATCGGTTCCTGCTGGGTTGGTTCCCTGTTGCTGATCTCTTCTTGCCGGCCATTTGATCTTGAGTGGTATTGAGTGAAGACAGCTGTCGATGAAGGTGTGTAGTTTGTTCGAAGTGCCCTTCGTGACGCGCTGGCCAAGTCTTTCATTCGTATAGTAGCACTGACTTCACATTTCAGTTGAACATCGGGATCTTATTTTTCATGCTGAATGCTGTTGATCTCCACACAGACTTGAGTGTAATGAAAGCTTGCCTTGCTTTTATATCTTCATCAGTTCCGTCCGCCTGTAGTTGAAACGATTCTTCCCAGGTAGGTAGGTTGGTAGGTGGGTGAAGGAGGTTGCTTCTTTCAGATTTCTCCCATTTATGCTGATTGTTGTCTGTTGTTGTCGCTGTTGTTTTTGGCCAGGAATCTTCATCACCTCTGTTTTCTCTATGTTCACCTGAAGTCCTTTCTATCTTTGGTGCTTCTTCTGCCAACTTGTTGCTTTTCACTTGCATATCTTCCAGTTTGGAGGAAATCAGACGTATATCATCGATGAAGTTCAGATCCTCCAATTTTTCGTATGGGTGCATTTTATGCCTGTCTCCTCGTTGCCTGCCACTGTCTGTCGCATTATCCAGTCTACCGCAATCAGGAAAATCATTGGAGACAGTAGGCAGCTAGCCTGTCTTGCTCCCGTCCTCATTTTGAAGGATTCCATGAGTTTCCTGTTGTGGATCACTTGGCATGCAGCATTGTCGTACAACTGTTGGATGAGATTTATAGTTGTTGGCGGCACCCCGTAGTAGCGAAGTACTTTCCAAATCACCTCTCGATCGCTGCTGTTGAAGGCTTTTTCAAAGTCCATGAAGTTGAGATGGAGAGCTGACTACCATTCCAAGCTCTGGTTAATGATGATAAGTAGTGTGGCGATTTGATCAATACATGACTTGTTTCTCCTGAGTTCCAGCCTGCTCCGGTCGAAGTTTTTCGTCCAGGCGTCGTGTTTGATTCTGTCCAGGATGATGCGGCTTAGTATTTTGCTTGGGATGGACAGGAGCATAATTCCGCGCCAGTTCTTGCATTGACTTAGGTCTCCTTTCTTTGGCAGTTTGAATAAGTATTCTTTCTTCCAATCCTCGGGTACTTTGCCTTCTCTCCATACCTTCTCCAGTAGTGGTGTTATCAGGTCCGCTGGTGTCTCTCGGTCCATTTTCAATTCCTCTGCTGGGATTCCGTCTGGTGATGCTGCTTTTCAAACTTTTAGCATCTTTATTGCCTTCGGTTTTTCTGTTTTCGTTGAGTATGATGTCATGAAAAACATCTCGAATTGAAATGCTCTAACAAACGCTAAACCAACCGAACTGTTTCATTTCAAAGCGTAACTTTTAGGTTTTGAATAAGTTTCTACTTTTCCCAAATAATTCCTCAACCAGTAACCATTGAAGAAGTACTCTTGTTGTATACATCTTGGCTATTGATATCGCTGTTCCAAGGTTATACCACTTGTGTTGGAAGAGAATATCTGTGTCCCAACAGATTACACCGGAAGTCAAAGCAGCTTACATTGTTCCACTACAGTATGCAAGCAGCTCTTAGCAGTTAAAGTATTGTGAATTCGACCTTTGACAGAGACGCTGAAATTTGTTGGCAAATATGCTATGAGGAAATAGGATTAACTGAGGAAAGCCAGAGCTCCCCAGGATTCATGTTTTATTATCCACACTCATTTTGAAAGTGATGAAATCTAGGAAACAATGAAAAAAGGCTGAACAACTGCTTGGTTAAAATGTGTACTAAACACGGTTTAGTTCGCTTATTTTAGACAATTTTTTCACTGATAGTCATGGAAGTCGGTGTGTATTCTACACGCGTTAATTCCAGTTCTATGTATTAAGGTTTACATGCGTCTACGTGAACAAATATATTAGAAGGATAAAAATAAGGAAATACTTCAGCTTTCAGAATGCAAAGTAATTGGGCGCTGTTGATAATGAAATTCTTAAATACCTAATCAACACACAGTGTCACTATTTTGTTAAAAATAAAACTGAAATCTGTGCTACGCTTTACTGTCAAACTGAATCACTTACAAAAACTTTTCTTGATAGCTCTCCATCATCATATTAAACTCTCCAAGACGTATTAAATCTCATTTTCGATTGTTAGTTCTTTGTCAGGGACCAGTATCAACTAGAAAGATCGTTGAAAGCTAGGGAGCACTGAATAGCTGTTTCTAAATGTCAGTTGCCAGTTTTTTCAAGGCTATTGTAGGGATTTCCTGAAGCTTCAGTAAGAAGTCTTAACTCGAGAGGTCCATTATGTCAAGGTGAAGGGGATGCTGATCAAAGGCATTGAGTCCTGACCTATAGCTGCTACCTTGACGTGGTGGTTGGGCTTGCAAATCGCAAGGACTCAACAAGCTACACTGGCTGGAACTATTGTTCCTGCAGATCCTAACATGCCAGGAAGATTGTTATGATAGCGATTAGATTAAAAGCAGTTACTAGTATGGTGTAAGATTTTTGTTTACAGAAGAAAAACCTCAAAGCATTCACTAAAACATAACTGAGGACTATGTTTCGGACAGATACTGAGGAGACATTGCATGACTGGAAACGATGGATTTCGTGTCCAAGGTTGACATGCAAAGAAGAGATGTAAGTTTTTGGGCTATCATGGATGGATCTAGATGAAATTAATGTCAGAAAATATACTTGCATGAAGATGTGGCACTGAAGCCTTATATTTAACTAGAAGAGCAGAGAATACGTAATCAAATATACGGCTGAATCGTTATCACCATCATATTTGTACTATACGCAAGTGGTTAGATGATAGTTATTTTCTCTCGGTTTAATGTCATTCTAGAAACGAAAACAGTCTTCTAACACTTTTGGGTAACATCCATCAACAGCTCAACAAGACTCAGCATATCATCCTTACTCTTTTGGTGTAAATTCTCCCAAGGGGAAAAACCTTTCTGTGTAGTGAAATATAAGGTGCAACAATTTTTAAACTTAGATATGATGGAGAAGATTTGTAGCTCAGGTGGATGATTTTGATGTGGTTGTGTTCTCTGAGCTGGATGGTTAATTTGTGAAGCCTCCATTGCCCGTCCTACTAGGCAACATCGCTTCAGCGCATACTTCAATCCACTGAAGTCAGCTTTTAGACTGCTCCTGGCGGGTGACCTGGAACAACGTCGTGATGGGTTGTTTTTGTGTGTTTTCACACACTCTAGGCTACTTGTATTGGCGTTGGTGTTGATTGTTTCCTTGACCTGCACTTTGACCCTTTGTGTGTGAGATTTCCTTCTTATCGATTGGTAAATTTTGTCCATCTCGATGTGTCTACTGACTGACGATTCACTATAATACAAGGCTTCCAAAAATTCTCTAGCATTCTTGGTGTTTCCTCTGTCTAATATCTGAACGTTGGTTGTCCCAGTCGAATTGATGTCTGTGGTTGTTTGTATACAGTGAGGTGTTGTGAGGGAGTGGATATCATGTCTTTTGACGGCTAGTTTATGATCATGGATACAAAGAAGAAGGGGACGTCCACTTTGGTCAATGTAGTGTTTTTCGCTGTTGTTACAATTTATTTTGTAGATGATGTTGGTTTTATCTTCTTTCGTTGTTGAGTCTTTTGGTTGACATAGAACTGAGCGAAGTGATTTTGTTGATTTTTGTGTAACATCAATTTCTAAAGGTTTGACGAGGCTTGCAGCAAACTTGACGCAGATGTTTATATCTACATCTGAGAACAATATTAACAAACATAATAAAGAATGAATTTACCAGGTTTAAAAGTATACTGACTGTAAACCAACCGTCAGCAGAACAAAACACAGTCAATTTAATTACAAAAACTCCCTGATTAAACAACATCAAGATGCTTTATGCAAACTGTGACAAGAATAAAAGCACCAGGATAGGCAGATCAGAAATAGTTCCAGTACATACTGAATAAACAAAAGCTCAAGAACTTACAAACTGTAGACTTAGGTGCGAATGGCAAAAATCCATTGATAAGCGCTTCTGAGATACTAAAGTAGGAGTGAAGTGAACACTTCACCTAGCTCGATTTCAACAAAAAGACTCAATAACGAAAGAAGATAAGACCAACATCATCTACAAAATAAATTGTTTTTTTCTCTGCGTCGGTGGCACAGTGGTTAGGACTCTCGCCGACCATGCCCATGGTCCGGGGTTCGATCCCCTGCTGGCGCACACCCGATATCTATGGTCGGCCTGAATCTGGGCTACCGATATTTATGCTGAAAATTCCACACTTGTACTGAAAATATGGTGTGGAATCAAGCAGTAAATCAAATCAAAATCCTTTACGTTCCCAGTGGAACATAGGGCTTCAAGCTAGAGGCTTAAAGTTTCAGTAGCATTGGTGGTTATTTATACGGTATGGGGTTGCTAGCCTCATGCTCAACCTTTACTCGCTTAGAGAGGTAAAGGAGTGCGTCTGTGGTCAGGGATCGAACGCCGGACTACCTGCGTGGTTGGCGAGAATTCTACCGCTATGCCACCGATGCACAAAATAAATTGTAACAACTGAGAAAAACACTACATTGGCCAAATTGTACGTCCGCTTCATCTTCGTATCTGTGAACGTAAGCTAGCCGTCAAAAGACATGACATCCACTCCCTCACAACACCTCACTGTATACAGACAACCACGGAAATCAATTCGACTGGGACAACCAACGTTCAAATATTAGACAGAGGAAACACCAAGAATGCTAGAGAATTTTTAGAAACCCACCTGGTACTCCAGTGAATCGTCAATCAACAGACACATCGAGAGAGAAAAAGATCACCAATCGATAAGAAGGAAATCTCACACACAAAGGGTCAAACTTCAAGTCAAGGAAACAATCAGTACCAATACAAGTAGCCTAGAGTGTGTGAAAACACAAAAACAACTAATCATAACGTCGTTTCAGGTCGCACGCCAGGAGAAATCTAAAAGCTAACTTCGACGAATTGAAGTATGCGCTGAATCGATGTTGCTTAGTAGGATGGGCAATGAAAGCTTCGGGTATTAACCATCTAGCTCAGAAAGCACGACCACATCAAAAAATTTTAAACTTGTAATCCTGCTATTACAATCGAAGCAAAGCAAGGAATTTCAACTCAATGGATTTTCTGAATTATTAATGAAAAGATCGAATACATTTGTATGTCTCATTAAATAAGTGATATAATCATCTTCTTGTTGTATGATAGTAAGTAGAACATTTATTAATATTATCAATGAAAAAGCATAACACAATTATAAAGCAAAGTGTGTAATTTCGTACAGTATCTTAGAGCAGAATGCAACAAAAAAGAGATTTATCGAAAAAGGAAATACGGATGACCATATTCGATAATGAATATCACAGATATTAATGATGATGATGGTGAGGATAATTATGTCAGACATAAATATATAAAAACTTTCAATTATTGATCATAATAATGGTTAGTAAATTGATGTTTTATTGATTCATGTATAGGCTGATTTCTGTGATAAAATAAGCGTATATTGCTCTTCGCGAAAATACATATTTATATACCGATAGCCCTTACTATTCATCCTCTTCCTTGTCATTGATAAATCCGTAAAAATAATCAATACAAGAGGGAGGGGGGCAGAAAGAAAACCAAAAAACAATAATATTAGTTAAAAAAAGCATGTAAAAAGGTATTAGTACTACAATTAAAATCTTCACTCACTCATTTTTAAAGGAGGAAGGTTAATGGTGAAAAAAAAGTTGTGTGGTGCGAGCTGTCTGCAAGACAAAAATGTAAGCAACAATCTACGTCAATGTTTACGTCCCGAATCGGGGTCATGAGGAAAAAACTAGAACAAAGCTTAACCTTGGTGAACTCACCAACCAATCACAGCGGACTTAATGTGGGCAGATATATAACCGGACTATCTAAGATGATAGCATAACCTTCAGCAAGAAAACAACCAATCAGAAGACATTGCTTCTCTACTTACAATAACGATTAATAATGTACATAAAAATCTACAAATATCTCTTGATTTTCTCAATAAACGATCTGTTGCCTGGCCCTTGTCTTCTGTTGTTACAGTTGTATATCAAGTGCTTGTGTTTGTGTGTGTGTTGGGGATTAAGAGGTAGAATGTTCACCAGGAACGTGAGTGGTCTAGAGTTCGATTCCCGGCCTATACACGTGTATACCTCACCGAGTTAACTGGCTGTTAGTAAGCCGGAGAAAGAGGAATGGTTAGATATGCGGCTAGCAACCAACCTCGTAAAAACAATGCTGCTATTGAAATTTCGAAACTTGAAGCCTTATGTTCCACTCGAAACGCAAACGATTGCAACGAAAATCAAGCGCTAAAATATTAATCTTCTGTCATAATCTAATGACAGTTGATTTTAGGGAATGATATTTTCTAGCATATACGTCGTTTTATAGACTCTAGTGTCCAGCTTTTTCTTTATTATATTAACTATCAGTAGTCTCAAGTGAATTGTATTAAAATTCTACAGTATACTTATTGTTTTTGTATTTACGTAACCTAAGTGTATTTTTGTTCAATATAAACTGATAAGAGAAGGCACTATTAAAGTTAAGAGCTGAAACAGGGTGAAACGTGTTTACAGCAAAGTTCTGAAGGTCATACTAGGACGAAACAACTATCCAGTACTCCTAGCTGGTTTTCCAATGCTTCTCTAACTGATGTCAGCTCATAATGAAATCCTCCAACCAATCAAACAAACTCCCTACAAAATCAACACTTGAACAAACTGATCTGATGCTCACTAGCGACTGGCCTTATTCAGGCAGTTAACCTGGGGTTCTAGTGGGAAGCCGTGACCAGTAGGTTGCAGCAGGTCGAAGGTGACGCAGTAACTCATCGAAGAAGACATTGCAAATTTGCCGTGCCATATCGTGAACTGGCAGAGGGTAGAATTCATGCGCTGGCCACTGGATCGTGTCCCAGTGGCTTAATGTTCTGCGAGCTCACTGGCCTTGTAACTAAAAGTTCCTGGGTTCGAACCCTCGTGGTGAGTGTGTGCTGCTGATTAGTTCCAAACTTGGCTGAAGAAGAACAGCTGTCCTGTACTCTCAGGTTTCCCAATGGTTCTCTAACCGATGTCAGCTCATGATGAAATCCTCAAACCAATCATACTATCTTTCTAAAGAGAATTACAATTGTTGCCATGAAGATGATGACAACTGCTCAAACATACTGATTCATTCTTAAGTTTCATAAATATCCGGTGAACGAATTCAATGCAGTGTCCTTGGAAAAGAACCGGAAAGTGCTTTTTGGCTATTTTTTCATCAGCTGAATATCAAGTAGAACGCATAAAATTGTGCTCTCTGATGTTATTACACCAGGAAAAAATCAGCAACAGGGAGGAATCTCTGTGAGCAAACCAGCCCAGCAGGAACCGACTGTGCAACAAATATACAGGAAGAAATGGAGGTGGATCAGCCATACTCTGAGAAGACAAAATATCAAGTGAGTGACATCACACGCCAGGCCATTGCTCGAGTGGGGCCCTAATGGGAAGCGGCGAGTTTGTCGTCACTGTGCGGGTGATAAGGAGGAGGTGTTGAGAAGAGGAGATGAGAGCATGTGAACAGACGCAGAGCCAGGTGAAAACGTCGGTGGAGAACCGAACGCAATGGAGATGTGTGGCTGAAGCCTTATATTCCTCTTGGGCTTGATGGAAATAATAATATAATTTTCAGTGTCAGGTATTCTGGACGTAGACTCGGCAAAGGGGGATTTCATTAATTAAAAGCAATTTACTAAATGTTCATTAAACAACTACATGGTTATAAAGTATTACTATTAATAACAATAAAGGATCTTACCTCAGTTATTGGTGACGGTAGACATCCCCATGGTATCAAATTTTGTCTTGATGATCTAATTTCATTATCATTTAGAAATATTGTTTCCCTATTCGAAATCCTGTCATTGTTTATTACATCAGTCATAACAGTAGTATTGTTAGTAATATTACGACTGGGATATATTTTTGGATAACCATTAGTATTATTATTGTTATTACTATCACTACTATTGTCTACAGGTGTAGTGCTAGTTGAAGAATTTTTATGAATAACAATAGGAATAAAACTGTCACTACTTTCTTCATCGTAACTAACAACATCATGATCTTTCAATACTCTAAAAGGCACCTCTTTGTTTTTATATAAAGAAATTTTGTTACTGAATTCTTTTTCAGTAGCATAATTTTTATCTCTAAAATATAAAGCCGTATCGATAGGTGATGTCATTTCTGCTTTATCAGCATGAGTAGTACTATGACCACCACTACTATTACTACTACTGCTGCCGCTGCTAGCGATACAGTTATTACTTTTCACCGACTGAGTCCTTGAGTCACTTGTTTTTTGATCATTATTGGAATTATATAACGTTTGACGATGATAGTGATGGGGATACGGATTAAACTGACAAAGGGAATAGTTTGTAGATGAAGGTAAAGTAGAACTGGACAACTGATTGTTCGTCACAGTCACCTGTTCCTTTTTGTTGCCTTCGTTATAACTAGTATTATTGTGATTTTTAACAGTGCTGTTGCTGTGAATATTTTCAGAGTTGTTAGTCCCATTACTTTTACCCAATGTATTATCATTTATCCCTGTAATAGTCATATTATTCGAAAGATTCACCTCTCTCAATTTTCCCTTATTATCAATATTATTATTATTGTTGCTGTGGTTGTTACTGCTACTTTCGTGGTGTGTATCAATTATTTCTTCTGAAACTGTTACTGTTGGTGAAGATGCATTACATAAGGTTTTATCTTCATTGTCTTGTATTATTGTTTCTGTAGATTGTATGCTATGTGTTGCTGTTCTAGTCGGTGGTGGTACGGGTAGTGTTGATTTGCTTATAGTACTTGAACGATGATATGAATTAGTAGAGTTTATTGTTCCATTAGATAATTTCTGTAAAATATAGAAAATTCAAAAATAGAAAGCGAAACAAAGAGTGTGTGATAGAGACTGTTTAGTATATTCCAACTGCTTACCAATTACTAATAAGTTTAAGTATGAGCATATATATATATATATAATAACAGAATAATTCTAAACGACTTATATGGTCTCTGAATATCCATCAAAAACAATCTATCGGGCAATAAAAAGCCCACAACTTAGACATATTTTGACAAATGAAATCTGGTCGTTAAAGATATATGTTTTCAAATCTGCTTCGTATTGTCAAATCATTTATTTTTCCTTATCTCAAAAATGTACCCAAGCTTTGAAGATAAACGCAGTCAGATTCGACTAAAACATTTGTACGCGTCAGTACTTGAATTGTCACATTTTTCGCCGAATTAGTTACAAACGGAATTCATTAAAAATGGTGCTCAGTAGGAGTGAAAGCGTTATGTGTACGAAATAAGATTTATGAAGAACTCATGATTATTGAAAAGAATCTGATGGAGAATCGCTATCCCGAGAAGTTCATAGAGAAATACGTCCAGATTAAAGCTCGTAATAGTTGAAAACAAATCAGTTTTTATTTGCCTAGTGTGCAAAGGTAAATAAGCATCAAGGAATTTAGAAAATAGAGTCAAAAGTGTATTGAATATGACATTTCCTGCCACTAGGCAGATGCTGATTTATACAACACAAAGTATTAACCAATTCACTCTAAATTAAGTGACTATCCTCCACAAGTCAATTCCTACTGCACTGATTAATTCACATACACTTATGGTAATAAGTACATACGAAGGACTGAGAAGAGAATGCCTACTAATTTTTCTGAGTACATTTTGAACAATCTTAATATGAGAAGTAAGAAAGTGTTTACTAGTGTAGTCACTAAGCTCCTGCTGCTAGAAGATGTACAGTCAAAATCAGTCGAGCATTCAAAATATTTGATATATATATAGAGAAAACTGTGGTTACTTCTCCTTTGGAAAGTCATCACTACCAAGTGATTTTAGTCCAACATCCCATTAATCTGCAACCGAATGTCTATATTTTTCGTTCCCGTGTTTGTATAACATCGAAATTTTCTTCTAACTTTCACTCGATGAGCTGAACTCACTAACAGTCTCCAGATTCCTTTTTTTTACTTTTTACATCTGTCCCCACTCCCAATATCTCATCTCAAACTTCCCATAATATTACGCATAAATAAATTCCGATTGTTAGATTTTTAGCTACCTTGTATTCACATCTGTAGTACTTATTTGTAGGTGTAATCTGGAATAACAGAATACTGGAAAACGAGAAGAAAACACAGAGAGGGTAGGAATCGAGAATTCGTAATCGGGATAATTATTTGTACTGTGTGCATGAAGTGAATGGAAACAAACAGCGATGAATATGTTGACAGTGGAGTGATGAAAATTGTCAATCACTGGTATATCTCTTGTTCCAGGACTATGCCATCTGAGTTGAAACAATTCATGATGTCTGTTACATATTTAGCGTCGGTGGTATAGCGGTTAGGACGCTCGCCGGGGTTCGATCCCCGGCCGACGCACTCCTTTACCTCGTTAAGCCAGAAATAATGTTGGTGAAGAAGAAAGTTTGGGCATGAGGCTAGCAACCCCATCCTGTAAAATAAGCACTGCTACAGAAACTTCAAGCCACTAGCTTGACGCCCTTTGTTCCACTGGGAAACGCGAAGGAAAAAATTACATATTTACATTTATAAGAAATTATGTTATTGTATGAATGTTGTTCTAGCTTATCTCAATGATACCATTGTTTCATTTCTGAAAGTTTATATATATTTACATCAACCTTCATTGTGTATTTATCAATTTATTTATTCATGTGGAACAAAGTGTATTGACACTATGAAACATCAAAGCCGCAAACGTATTCTGGAGCCTGACAAGCTTGGGTAGCCAGAGGAGGAAAGAAGAATACTAGCAGCTGCATTTTCGAACACCTTGTCAACTCTGAACATCGAGCACCCCCACTTGCATGAATTCTTCCCAGTGCTACATAGAATCCCTCAATCTTGTACAAAGGGATTTCGCATACTCCATTTGTACATAGGTGAATCATTAGCTATTCGGTATCTGAAACCTGACCTCTGCATTCATAAGCATCACATATATTCACTTGCCCTACCGTAACCAGAGTAACGCTCACTCTATAAGTTTGTTTCCTTTTATTATGTAAGTTTACTATTATTATTATTCTCATCATGCTTATTTTATTATCACTCCACTACTGTTTATTAATAACCTTGCGTTTTCATACAGATTTCATAAAAACAATTTATCGCCTTTCCACTAGTTCCTGTCCATTCTACACAATTATATTGATTAGTCATTTTCTCTCAGTTATTACGTCATCCCAACTTCTGCCTTCTAGTTTCCAATTAGTCACCCCTTCTAGATTACATCTTACATTACGTAATGCGTTTTCGAGGAAACATTTTACCAGTATCTGATTGGTCTTATAAATTTTTTGTTAAATATTAAAAGAGTAATTTACCCAAATCCTACGTACCCGACTCATCTGTATTGCTGAAACTCTGGCTATCGAAACAGAAAAGCCAGATCTCTGTGTACAGAAAAAGTTCGTTCAACCCCTCCAACTTTCATGGTCTTAATCCCTCTATACTAAAGTATGGTAATCCCCAATCATATTTTAGCTCTACCGATTTTTCATTTTTTGATTTTTGTCTATTCAGTTTGCATACCCTTCCTTTTTAAGTCAATTGTTACTATTACTACTCTCACCTTTAATTGTCCCCGGTATTATTTCACTTGTTCCACTTATCGAATCAACTACAAATACATGTAATAGGAATGATTCATCACTGTCCCCGATATCTGGAAAATTCTACTACCCCTTCGACAAGTAGGAGAGAACAAAGAAAACTATAAAACTCAAGTTTCGAAGTCGTGTGATTATAATTGATGGCATGATTATGAACAATAAATTTTGTTCCAAACATCATCCAGTAAATAATACTGTTTCACTGTGTGATATACCTAATAAACAAACTAATATGGAATTACTTACTACCACAGTGCCCAAGTTTTACACATATATTAATATGTTCCACTTGTCATTCTAAATCAATTCCTTTTTTACAACATTAAATTCTATGCTATTAAATTTCACACAATATTACGTAACGTTTTTATTTTATGTGATTCGTCTACTAATCTTATAATTGGATAACCTTTTTCAAGTTCTATCCATCCTATGAATCATTCTATATATGACATTAATTTGCTTTGCCAATTGACATTTAACTACGATTATAATCACAAACACTTTAGTTTTAATTGCATTTCACATTAATATTATTATTTTATGCATTCACACCTATGATTCAATTTCCTCACCGGATATAACTTCTTAAAAACCATATACATACGACTGTACAGCTTGATGATAAATTCGTTGAAAAGAGTCTCTTCGCTGAATAATTTGTTTTGATTTTCTATATGTTACAATGGGAATTTTCCATGATTTAAAAAATATAATCACGACTGTACAGCAGCTTATGAAAATGAATTGTCGAAAAGGGAAAATTTTCTTCACTGTCTACCTCTTTTCTTTATTTATTTTACTTGAAAACAAGTTTGTACAAAGACAAGTGCAATACTGCTGCTGTATGGCGATCGTGATCTATCGAAAATTAGCAGGTATGGGAAACTACGGATCAATAACTTCATGGAAACATGTTTGAAGTACAACCTAACAGTTCTGGGTTCGACCTCTTGAGAGACTGTAGGTTGGCACTTTTAAGTGGCTGCATTTCGCTATACAGAGTTTCTCAGGTGGCAATTATTCGCCCAGTTGATACTGATTTATGACTGAAACAACCTCAACAACTCAATAAATTGAAAGATATATGTGTTTATATATATTCAAATTTTAATTCTTTCTTACCTGACTTTTCAAACTCTTTAATATTTCTCCACTATTTTCAAAATCTGATGACGGATCACTGCTTTGTACAGCAGAATGTCCGCATGGATCATATTCATCACTAAAATCAAAAGTATTAAGTGTAATGAATATAAGCTGATCAGAAATTGAACAAATTAAAACGTAACAGAATTATTTTGAAATGTATTTATAAAACATTAGGTGAAAAATCAAATCAACTAGAATCAAGAGACATCGATTTTCAAGTGGCTCTAACCACTGGTAATTAGTATGAAGAGTCCCAAACTAGGACGAAACAGTTGTCCAGTACTTCCAGCTGGTTTTCCAATGGTTCTCTAACCAATGTCAGCTCATGATGAAATCCTGTAACCAATCAACCAAATCCCTACAAACCAATACTTGAATATAATTAGTATGTGTTGTGATGGGTATTCATTTGTGCTGATAGAAGAGGCGGTTATCAGCTTAAACGACTCAACATCCCCATGAGATTTTGACTGGTGTTAGGTGCTAAGAGATATTCTTCTTCTGAAACTTGGTCTGGCTTTAGTGTTTGTCAGCACTGATTAGTCTTCAGGATACATCAACGATCTCAGTTGAATACAGTTATGGATAGATAAATGAAGATATATCATGCAGAGTTGGAGCCAGAGACCACTGAACTATTCCCGTCACATTTACATACGCTTCCGATTTTTTTCCTCATCACGTTACCCAGTAGAACGTAGGCCTTCAAGCTAGTGGCTTGAAGTTTCTGTAGCAGTGTTTATTTTACAGGATGGGGTTGCTAGCCTCATGCCCAACCTTTCCCCTTTACCAGCATGGTTTCTGGCTTAGCAAGGTAAAGGAGTGCGTCGGCCGGCGATCAAACCTCGGACCATGTGGATGGTCGGTGAGCGTGCTAACCGCTATACCACCGACGCACTGAGCTTCCGAATTAGATTGGCTATAATAATATTATGTCATATCGTAGTCATTCCACCATTTCGTTAATTCATAAAGCCCTGGTGTTAAACATCACAAGTGGTGACTTGAACGAAATAGCTGAGAGTGAAAACTGTGTTGATGTCACAGTTAAATGGTAGGAAAACCATCTGTCTGAGAGAAGTAACAACAATTAACAGGGAGTTTAGAGGTGCTTTAAATTTCACACTAAATTCTATCTGATTAAATCAGATAGTTTTCTCTTACTGCATTACGTTCTTGTCAAGGAGGGCTGTACCCATGCGTAACAGTAATATTAACTTGAAGGGATTTGATGTGATAATGGATAGCATTTTGGTTTGTGGAAAAACTGGCGCTGGGTTCGAGCCTCGGTAGATGAATAGGAAGCAATTAGTGTGTAATCCTGGAACTGCGTTTCGCTCTTTTTGGTAACACTTAGCAAGGTGTATCGGAAACCGTGAACGAATTGTTGTCTCTCCTAAGTTTTGAACATCCAGCATTCAGTTTTACAGTCAAATATTTAATCAGTGAGCTTTAAGAACTCAGCTGACTTCCTGTAGGACATTAATGGAGAAAATGACCAGTCACTGGTGAGCGATTTGTGATACTGTGTCTTCCAAGTTTGACCACTGATTGATATCAGTTAGAGAACCATTGAAAACCAGGCAGGAGAACTGGGCAGCTGTTTTGTTCTAGTTTGGGACTCATCGGAAGTACGCACCCACCACAGAGGTTTGAACTCGGGATCTTCCTGTTACAAGGCAAGCAGGTATACCGTTCACCCAATAAGACCTGATTTAATGGCCCATGAATTCTGACTTCTGCCAATTCGGTGACTACTGTCGATGATTCCCAAACTAGGATGAATCGACTGTCCAGTACTTCTGCCTGGTTTTCAATGGTTCTCTAACTGATATAAATCCGTAGTGAAACTCGAAAAACAAATCAGATTCTTACAAATCAACTTTTGAAGATACTCTGTCTACCGCTCAGTATTGACTGAACTCTATCAGTCAAGCTTGGAATATGGATATCAATGTAGGACACTCGTCATAGTAAATCACACTGTATTGGTACCATATGATTGGAGGTTTTTGGCGGCAATCTCTGTACCTACGTTTCATCCTTAACTAATAGTTAATATGTGCCTACTACATCGGATCTAAAAATCAGGCAGTTAAACAAGTGGTAATGATTACTAATAGGATTTTAACATCATATAACATGTATATAAATAGACTTTCCAATATCATTCAATTTTATAAAACACTCCGATGACTGACTGACTGGTCTCAACATAGAACTTAACAGCTCAAGTCGCCATACTCCTTGTAACACGCAAAGCAAGAGAAGAAAGTAAAAAGAAATGCAAAATAGAGTCAGTAAAGAGAGATATGAGGCAAAAAGAATAGTAATAACTAAGAACAATAGCGTCTCATTGGGTATTATAAGTCACAAGGAGTGGATGCATCTGCGCCAGCCACTGAGAACGATTTTGAACCACATCACCGGATGTTTCCAGACATTAGTTTTTACCGTCCTGATGACCCCAACCAGGAAGTCTACATCTTCCTACGTGGCTGGCTTAAACTAACTGTTGTGGATTTCATCGACTGGTGAAGCCATGTTTTGGTTTGACTACCGCTAGCTCCTTTCCAGCCTGACCTTATATCAGCTAACATTGCCCGCCGAGGAAGGCAATAGCTAGCTAGGCATACGTAACACATGTCCTAACCGTCTCAGTCGATGTAACTTCACAGCCCCGTCGATTGATTTTTCCTCCTCACCTAGTATTCGACGCCTAACCTCAATATTACTTACCTTATTATACCATTGCACACGGGAGACAGAACACAGACATCTCGGATCAAAGACAGCTAGCCTTTTCATGTCCTTTATTCTCAATGGCCAGGTGTCACAGACATGGAGGAGGACACAGCTGACTGCTTAGCAGTACACACGGCCTTTGGTAGAAAGCCAGCTGGATATCACGTCGATACCAGAGACAGCGTAAACTGGCATATGCGAAACTAGCCCTCTGTATCCGTGCTAAGATTTCGTCAGCAGTCAAACCTCTGGCGCTGGCTGATACAACTCCCTAAACAAATGAAGTGGTCAACACACTCTACCACTTCACTCCTATTTCTAAGCCAGGAGTCTTATAGCTAGTCCAGTCCAGTAGCATCATCTCACATTTGGCGGGAGCGAATCGCATGCCAAGCATTCAAAGATTGCTGCTCCTCAAAGTGTTCAGAAGACTTTGCACACTGTGATATATATATATATATCTCAAAGGCAATTCACCTACTGGGATCCGGAAAAAGAGTAATATTAGTCGTTCTCTAAGAAAAATAATAGATTGGCTTATAAGACGTAATTTTGTATCTCAGTATTCAGTAAGGAATCACCTTTTAATTTAAACTTCTCATGGCTCGTTTCAATGAATATTAAACATTTGTAATGTCTGACACTAAATTACATTCATTAGTCAGCTATTTTAGGGATACATGTAATCACAAATAAGAATGTCTTTCCTCTAATTGCTGACGTCGCATTTTTTACTTTTTATTTAATTTAACTCAACTAATAATTTAAAAGTCACCATTCTGATTATTATTATTATTTGTAATAATGTTATTTACTCTAATACCAAAGTAAATATAATTGAATATACTACAATTTCATTGCATATACATCAACAGGACATGTGAAGTGAATAAACAGAATATTCAATTCCAAATTTTAAGAAAATTACCAATTCTGTAGCATTCCTTGTTAGAGTAAATATATAGACAGAAATAAATTAAGCGTTATGGTTAATCAACATTTAACTGGTGTAGTTTCACCGTGTAATACATACATACACCTTAAGTGAAACTAATCACGTTTCTCCACTGTTGAGTAACACCGATATGAAGTTGTAAATCTTCTCTTTATCCTTTTGAGCTCCAAGTGGAACATGTGGCTTCGAGCTTGAACTTTTGAGTTCCAATAGCAGTAATGTAGACTAGTCATCAAGAAACACATGAACTTCAAGCAATAATGTGATTATTATTATTACCCCCTTGGGTGCCAAGTGTAACACAGGGCTTCAACAACAGGGCTTCACATCTCCACTTTTTCCTATCTTCTCCTGTCTTCTTCAGCTGAGTCCACGACTGACCATAATCTCTCATCTCCTCATCCCCAGACGATCTCCTCCATGTCACCCTAGCACTGACGACCCACTCATTGCTTCTCATTCACCCGAGGGCCTGGCGAGCGACGTCTTTGGACGGTTTCCTCAACGTGTGCCTGATCCATTTCCATTTTCTCCTGCATAATTGTTGAGCAATCAGCTCTTGCTTCGTTTGTTACAAGAGTTTCTTAGTAATTGTTTATTCTGGCTGGCTATTCGATCTTCAGTATGGAGCTACCCCGTCAAGCTGCCAAATAAGGATGACGCACGCCTCACTCTGCAAGTACTGGAGTGGAATAATGCTCTTGTCCATGCCAAGTAAAATAATATGTCCCATCATCCTGGAGAGAATAAAGGATTCACTGAATACAAAACTCCGCCCCACTAGAACAAGCTGGATTCAGGAAAGGCAAATCATGTGCTGATCAAATTGCAACTCTACGCATCGTCATCACAGAGCAAAGCATAGAACGGCAGTCAAACCTCTACCTCAACTTCATCGACTTCCAAAAGGCCTTCCACAGACAGTGTAGACAGAGAAGCAATTTGGAAATTGCTTCAACACTACGGTGTGCAATGAGTGCTCAAGTCTTTATCAACTGCATTCAACAGCTATATGACAGTGGCACGTGTCAGGTGATCCACAAAGGAAAAATCAGCGAGGTGTTCGAAGTGAATACAAGAGCAAGACAAGACTGTCCATTATCACCGATGATATTCTTAATTGTGGTGGACTCGTTAATGCGTCAGACTGCTGAGGGCGACGAGACAGGAATACTCTAGACGACCGATAAGAAGACTGCAGAAGATCTGGATTTCGCAGATGATGTTTGACTAATGGCACACAAACTAGAAGACTTACTGGTGAAATCAACAAACTGGCAGAAGAGGTGAGCAGCAAAGACAGGACTGCATGTGAACATAGAGAAGGTGAAGGCGGAGGTGATGAAGATAACCAACTACCAACAGCAACAACAACAACCAGCACCAATCACCATCAAAGGGAGAGATTTGACAGAGGTTACTTCCTTCACTTATCTAAGAAGCATCGTTTCAACAACAGACAGTCAGAACGGATGAAGATGTCAAAGCCAGTGAGAATCGGAAAGGAAAGATTCGCCTTCATCAACCTGAAAGCAGCTTAATAATCTTCTGCACTCCGTCTCAGCATAAAGAACAACATTTGGATTGTGAACACCAATGTCAAGTCGGTCCTTCTAAACGGGTCAGGAACTTGGCGGGCGTGTCTTGGAAATTATTTCCAACAGGTTGCAGAATTTTATCAACAGATACCTTCACTGAGTCCATATTGAAGATCAAATGGCCAGCCAGAAAGAATAATTATTAAAAAACTCTGGAAACAAACCAAGCAAGAGACCATCGCTCAACAAATATGTAGGAGAAAATGGGAATGGGTGGGGATAGACTGAGGAAACCGTTCAATGACATCGCTCGCCAGGCCCTCAGGTGAATGGGAAGCAATGAGTGGGTCGTCAGTGCTAGGGTGACATGGAGGAGATCGTCTGGGGACGAGAAGATGAGAGATTATGGTCAGTCGTGGACTCAGCTGAAGAAGACAGCAGAAGATAGGAAAAAGTGGAGATTTGCTGTTGAAGCCCTGTGTTCCACTTGGAACGTAAGGGAATAATAATAACAGCCAGTCGAGGCAGCTGTTGATAAAGGTCTGTAACTCGTTGGAAATCGTTTTCGTAACGCAGTGAAAGTTTCTGGCCCGTATAGACGAATTGACTTCACATTTGAGTTGAACATCGGAATCTTGTTCTTTATGCTGAGAACAGAAGACTTTGAAACAGTATCAAAGTGTTTGACTGATCGACTTTTTCCTAGGTCAGTTAAATTTACTGAACCATGAGTTTTAAGATCTTTTTAATGCCCTTTGCATCACGTCCTGTGATGTAAAAACCTTTGTAAAACACCTCTTTTTAATCTACTTCTGTATCAGTCAACATTTTATTTTGAAATAAAGAAAGAACCAGCATAGCTGACATAAGTCTCAACCATCTTAGATTATTTTGGTTAACTGCATCAAATGAAACAGATCTTGTTATTTAGTTATCAATCACTTATAGCAGCATATTACACACGATGTATCTTTTACATTAATAGTTTATGTACACTTTAATTCATCGTCCATTTCCACTTGAAATATTTACTAAAATTACCGACTTGAGAAACTCCTGAGTACTTTAAACAATATCGATTCAACTAAATGCCATTCTACAACATATAAAAGTCGACACTATGACAGTTTTATTTCCCTAACTTCATAAATAACAATTTTGAAATATTTCAAGAGCATTGATGTATCACATGGATCGAGAATTGCAAATAAATACTCGTTATTCCCCTGAATTGTAGCACTGTGTTTTATTCCTGCTATATTCGTACAACCATAAACAAACCGTTATGTTGGGAACCTTTAGATAGACAAAACAGAAGTCCTAATCACTGTGGTACGGATGAAAATGTCAAAAACTAGTCAGAAGTGGAAAGACAGGACAGACCTTCGTCAACCTGAAACTAGTTTGGAAATCTGCACTCGGCAGAAAACAAGAAAATCCGGATTTCCAACACCAACGTTAAGCCAGTTTTTCTGTATACGTCAGAAACTTGGCGCTTCATGAAAAGCATTTCCAACAGGTTAATGCAGACTTTTATCAACAGCTGCCTACTTCGCTGGTTCCATAATGAAGATCAAATGGCCGGACGACCAGAAAGAATTAGCAACAAGAAACTCTGACTGGGAGCAAACCAACCAAGAACCGATTGCTCAACAAGTATATAGAAGAAAATGGAGATGAATCGGACATACATTGAGGAAACCGTCGAATGACATCGCGCCCCAGGCCGTCGCTCCTGTGAAATTCAAATGGGGAGCGACGAGTGGGTCATCTGAGGGTGTAGTGTGACACTGAAGAGATCATGTGGCGAGAGAGAGATGGGGGATTATGGGCAACCGTTGACGCAGCTGAAGTGGACAGCAGAAAATAGAACAAAGTGAAGATGTGTTGTTGATGGCCTATGTTCCACTCGGAACCCAAGGGAATAATAATAATGACTAACACCGGCAACTGGACAGTGACTGTACCGGATGAGCATAGTTATCAATAGTCTATGTATTTGTAAGCTTCAGTCCCGCAAGTGTTTCATTGTCATGGTAGACACCATCAACAGTGTGTTAGTGTACGATGAGCGAACGAATTTGATTGTGTATGGATGTTTGCCATATCGATTTTCGCATCACATCAATCTAACTGGATGTTCAACTAATGTTGCAAGGCCATTTGAAATGCAACTGGTTGGTGTTTTGCATTAAAATTGCCAAATGGGGTAAACAGCTAATCTTGCATTCGCTACACCATCCCTTCACAATTAACCAATGTCTGTCATTTGATTGTAGAGATAAAGATCACTAGGTGGTACTAGTGGTCAGCATATTTCGTCAGAGTTCAAAGATGAAATGCATTTAAATTCTTAAATGTTTGACTTTTTCGTTAATAACGTACCTAGACATCACGCGACCTGTTGATGAACTACGATACTTTGAGGAGCTTCCACCACCATCTGCATCTGTAGTCATAATACTTGAAGCTCTCCATTTTGTTGCATTAGTGGCATTCTCTAGAGACAATAACGTTTTTGTATGCGATACATTTAACTCTCTTGCGGCGCATTCATGAAGTTTATTCACCTCTTCGAATAGACAGTTTAATACCTAGAGAGAGAAAAAATATGCATATTTCAAAGGTTTATTGTAATATAACAAGATTGACAAATAAGATAAAAAAGTAAAGTAAATGGTTTAGTTGTTCTGTTAGGGTGAAGTTTTCTTATTTAATTACTTCTGCATTTAAAATGCTCGCCAATCATTCATATGATCCGGCGTTCAACCCCCGGTCGACGCACTCTTTTACGTCGCTAAGCCAGCAATCAGATTGGTAAAGACGGAAGCCCGACCGATAGCTGCTACCCTGACATGGTGGTCGGACTTGCACATCACAATGACCCAACAAGCTACACTGGCTGGAACTATTGTTCCTGCAGATACTACCATGCCAGGGAGGTTGTTAGGCTAGCAAATCGACTAAAAGCAGTTACCGGCATAGTGCATGAATTTTTTTTACACTATGCTGGGGGCCTGTGGGCGAAGTCGTACTGTTGGGGAACAGGGATGTAACAGCAATAAGGTGTTTCCATTTAGATGACCAGCATGCCAGCTATGCTGTCTTTCCACTCTGGAGAGAGGGGGTTAGAAAAGGTCGACTCCAAAAATTACACATCTCGACTTACCCTACGGTAGTCCGTAGTCGACGGTAAGTTTACTATTACGGAACCAATCCAAGAAGGCTGTTCATACAAGCCTTGTGTGACCGGCCTTAAGCAGTTGTCTCCTGGGCTCTGCGGTCACGCAACACTAACCCTATTTCTGTTTCAGGTACCCGAAGAATCAACCAATTTCCACAGTGTGGGCAACTGGGCAGTAACAACCGGGCACACACTTCCAAGAGCACACGATGCCTCCCCGAGCGTCATTCTCCCTAAAGATGGAAGGCTGCGCATGAGACAGGCTATCAACTCCATCCCGTAAAAATAAACTAACTATCTAAATAAACTTCAAAGCTTTAGCCTGAGAAGCCCCATGTTCCAATGACAATGTAAAGGAATAAAAAACCAAAATTTTAAATCTATAAAATAATTAATATAAAATGGACTCTTCAGCCGTGAGCACCAGAGACCTCACCGAGGACAGATCTCACGGCTTTCACGTTACGAGGTCAACCTGTTGAACATTCAGTTGCGACTGTGATTTAAAGACTATTGTGATTATCTGCCAAACAGAAGATCTTGGTTCGACTCCCGAAATTAAAACACTGATATAAAACTTATCAGAAAATATGTTCATTTGTTTTCCTGTTATCCTTGGTAGTTTTGGTATGTAGTAAGTTTATAAGGGAATCAAAATATGTAGGAAAATCAAACGCTGCCTATATTTCAAATGGGATCATCAGCATACTTTAACATATTGCATTAATCTAAAGCGATTGTGAGTTCAGATTTCAGCAGAATGACTGTTTATGAAGACTAATTTTAAGGAATCTTAACAAGACTAAATTGAAGAAGTAATCAGTGACTTAATTTATTAAATTATTTAAGGCAATCAGATTATAGAATTTTAGGGGTTTCTGGATTACCTTCAGTTGTAAGATTTCGTCATGCACCAACATCAGTTAGAGGGATAACTGAAGACTAGGGGACACTGGACAGCTGTTTCGTCCTGTTTTGGAACTCCTCAAGCAGTGTGCACCCACAACTTCCCCATGGGTCGAACTGAGTGTTAATTCGTGACGAAATGAACCAAAAATCCCCACAAATCTTACTACATCTGGGCATTAGTCATCAGCCTACTGATGGCTACTGAATGGATTTTCCGAAAATGTACCGGGAATTCGTGACTAGTAGAGTCAGTCATGTCAATGTGACGTAGACGGTCGTCGAGGACACTAGTGAGCGCAGCGCTACATTATGGGCTGAAAAGTTAGAATTCATAAAACACTGGATTCAACCTGAAGTGATTCAATGATTAACAAGCTTGGCGTCGTAGACTGAATCTCCCGGATTCGATCTCTGATGGGGTTGCGGGTGAGCACTGCTGAATAGTCTCGAAATAGGACGAAAAAGCTCCATGATATTTTACTGATCTCTCTAACTAATGTTGATTCATGCTGAAAATCTATCAACTGATCATCACAACTATTTATTTATTTATTTAGTATTTAATTGGTGGATGGTGACTAGCAGTGGGATCCAAGATGCGCATTTCGTCCAATTTGGGACTCGTCATCCGGATGTATCTACATTTCTCAGTGAGCGATGATGTTCTCACCGAGGATCGAACCCAGTCACCATCCACCAATTAAATACTAATTAAATGCCCAGACATCGTCGAAGCATCCGCTCAAGAAGCCGACATGTCAACCTGAGACCGAGCACTTCGGTCCAATAAATCGACGGGAAAATCTAAAATTCAATTATATTTATTTACTTACTTGTAGAAGATGCTTTATAAATCACTCGACAGCTGTCTTAAGGAACCTTAAAATCACTAGACGGAAACCTTGTGACGTGATTCCAAATCGTAGGTGCATTCACACAGCCCCTTTTCACTTCACAAACTCCAAGATTTTTCAATTAATTATTCTCTCTCTGGGATACATCTTTACCCACTATTGCCTCATTCTGTTTCATGTTTCCTAACTGTTTAAGCCTGCATGTAGTGTGGTGATTTGAACGGGAAAACTTGTATGAAACATTATACGTTCTTTCATTAGTCAGCTATACAGAACTTATTGTTCGGAATGTTATACTGCATAGATCATTCCTAATTTTGAAATATGAAAACTTTTGAAGGTTCATCAATTTATATACAGTTTTTCTTGAAATCAAAAAACATATTTCGCGTCATATAGGGAAGATATCATGCTTTAAATATGCCATGATGAAATGGAACAATTCTGAATAAAAATTTCTATTCTTATGGAAACGACGAAATAAATACATTACCTCGTAGTGGTGTGATATAGACAGTGTATACCAACGGAATATGATTCTCACATATTCCCACAGTTCAATATAGCATTAGCAACAGAATAATATATTTTTTCAAATATCCTATTTCATGCGGTTCAATGTAAGCCAAAATCATAAACTCAATGATTGGTTAGAGAATCTAAAACTGTATATGTATAAAGAGCGGTTTGGTCACTTGAAAATATACCTTGGCTTCCGTGTCTTGCCTTCTGTTGTTACATTTCGTGTCGCTGCCTGTCGACAAATTGAAAGCCTATGCCCTGCAGTTTTTGCAGAAGGAGACATATAGATCTTCTGATAGGACTTCCAGGCTGTTACCAAGTTGAATGGCGTGCAAGATCCATCAGCGATGAGGCTGTTACTTGGAACGCTGCTGAGAGGTCGGGTGATGGCAGCATACGATAGTGTAAGGCGAAACACCGGTGAATACGTGCCAGGGTCATGAAAACTGTTTTCGAAGTGGGAAGGACCATTATCTGGTCACCGTGAGACGGGGTCACGTATATACGATCAGAAATGCAAACAAAGAGATGTGGGTGAACGTCAGCGAGCTCTAGAACTTGATACTGCAAGACAAGCTACCATAGCCGCCAGTACTAAGAAGATTGAACCGACTTCAGTCGAAGATTTTTGACGGGGAGACACGTGTGGTGGTGTGACACAGACAACGTGCTTCAACGGGATGCTATTCTCCCATGTTCCCGCAGTTCAATACTACATTGAAGATTCTGTTTCATGTAGTTTAATGTAAGCCAAAATCACACGCTCAATGATTGGTTAGAGAATATAAAATTATATTTAAATAAATAGCGGTTTGATCACTTGAAAATATACCATGGCTTCAGTGTCTTGCCTTCTGCTGTTACAACCTAACTATCCTACTCATGTGTACTTAACATCACTTTCAGCATGACTAATACCCTAGTAAATTCATTGTTTTACATTAACATATGTTAAGAATCAGTTATTCAAGTGTTCATTACTAAATTCTGATGAATTGTTTCTCGAGATTACGGTAGCCAGTACATGATTTTCCCTTCGAACACTTACATCAGTTATATTGTTCACAAATGTGTCAATAAGTATTTAGTAGACACAACATTTTTAACGTTATGACCTAAGGATATGATACAATTATCAGTTTCTTGATATATACTTTAGGACATAAAACCTATTTTCAAGATGTGTCTGTGAAGATATGAATGTATGAGAGGTGAACAACTTGAACTGGCTACGAAAAGTGTTTAACTGAAGCTTAATTTCACACTATGCATAAACATACTCAGTTGTACGATACTTTTATAAAGTAGCCATGTTTTATATATGGCAGTAACAATAAGATTGAGATGGGGACTCTGACCTGGAGTGGATACGGTGATCCCACAAACGCTAGCTACTCCAGCCCACACTGCTAAAGCGGGAACACACAACGATGTGAGGCCGTAAGTGTATTTATCAGTATCCGTATGAATACGCGTACAACAGAAAACAATGATATATATGTATGGTCACTGGCATATACGTGAGAGAAGATAACCATATCAGATACATACTCAATGGATTAATTGATGTTGTCCTTTCTTGTAGTAAATAACACAGATATCGAGTAAATACGCTTTGTGTTTTTCTGTTCTCGTGTTCTCTGAAAAGATTTCATTGTCCGTCTAGCCTACACCTTCAGCGTAAAATTAGTACTCATAGATGGATTGCAGGTCAAGCATAACAAGATTTCTCTTCAAGGTATTCAAAAGATAGATCCAGTTTATGAGTCCCGAATAGGACGAAATGCTACTTATTTATTCTACTGTTAATTATCAACCGCCAACTTTCCTTTGTCATAATTCAAAATAAGGCATCTATAGAGATAGCTACCATAATGTGTATAGAACTGATGAAAAGTATTCAATTGGTGGATGGTGACTAGCAATAGAATCCAAGATATGCATTTCGTCCTATTTCGGACTCGTCAACTAGCTAGGTATGCCTGCATTTCCCCGTGAGTGATGTTCCCACCGAGGCTCAAACCCAGTGCCTATAGTTTCAAATGCCAAAGCGTTATCCACTAGACCACTTGGGCCACGAGAGCCACCTCTTGTTCAACAGGTCATATTGATTTAATTGAATTTT